GAGAGAGAGAGAGAGAGAGAGCGAATAGGCTTTACAAAATAAATATGTTAACGAAATAACTGGTCCACCAATCAATTATGATACTAGTAACACATAATGCCTTATGTTGTGACGTAGGCCACATGGAAGAGGCCGCATCATCACAACGACGTCCAGTCGAAGATAGCCGGTCATTCAAACTAGCCACCAGTACGGGCATCAGTCGAGACCTTTCCCATATTGTCGGCTCCAAGGAACGTCCAGCCATCTCAATCTGGGACTTTGCAGGGCACGGCATTTACTACAGCAACCATCACGTCCTGTACACACATTACGCCATCTACATTCTCACCCTGAATCTCAAAAATCCCCTCAGCGCTGACCTTAAGCCTCAGTCTGCAGAGGAGGAGGATCAGTCTGGTATCTGTGCAGAAGCTCTGCAGCTCAAAACAGAAGGAGGTAAGCAGTGTACCCGTGATTTTGGGTAAGGTCAGAGGTAATTAAGCCACAGAGACAGCCTAGACAAAAGACTATGGGCCTCAATCGTAGACCATAATTCATCATATGCACTGTGGTACACATGTCTGTGTTGTAGCTTCGTTAAGGGTACACGTAGTACGATAAAGGTTAAACATTCTAAAATAAAAGGATGTGTGGCCAATCTCTTGAATGAGTTGTAGGTATTTATAATAATTTCAAATAAGCTTGTGAAAGATGACAGTACACTGTAGCTAAAATATGTTATTCGCTACACGTATAAGACAAAAATGATTTACATAATTACGATGTTATTGCAGAGTAGATTTGACTTGGTTGCCACTTTGTCTATTTCATCGCATACTCAGATCTCGTCGACTACCATCTAGAGTCGATTCGAGTGCACACCAGGCCAAAGAAAAGAGACTTGAAGGATGGCGATCAAGCAGAAGATGACAAGAGGGACAGAGAACCCACTGTCATTGTGGTCGGCACACACAAGGACCAAGTAATGGTAAGGCCCGGCCGGACTGTTTGCGTGAACATAAACGATTCATATCAATAATGTACACATATAGCACTCGAAAGCTCAAAGGCGCAAAGCTTTGCATAAAGCCCTCATCACACATTAGGAACCTTAATTCCTAAGGACTTGACTCCCGACTACCCCTCTACCAATGTTGGCATTGGATTTAGAGTAATCTATAGAATTCACCCTATGCTGCCCCCAATACAAATTCCAAGCAGCTTCTCAACTTTGAATTTTCAAAAAAACGTACTATAGTAGTTGGTTGGCGCAGAAAGACCTAAACCTAACACTCAAAACCACATACATGTATGATTATCGTGATCTCTCACGACATACTCCCAACTATGGTCTGGATAAGGTCGGAAGACATGGCTTTGTGTGCCAGGGCTGAATATGGTAACATAATCATGATATAAATAAAACCAATGATCTGAGCTAAAAGAATAATCATATAGCTAATTACAATTTCTCTGTTGCTCTGGTACATGAACATTGACATAATGATTTATTTTCTATTTCAGACGAAAACGATCACAACCTTCCACGCTGATATCAAGGCACATCTGAAAGGAAAGGCCATTAACAAACATGTGTACGACAGATGCTTTGCCATTGATAACACCAAGCGTGACCCAGAAGATCCAGAGTTGTCAGAGTTGAGAGATGCCATCCTCAATATTGCCCAAGAGCAAAACCACGTGGGCAGGAGAATCCCAATCAGCTGGCTGGAGCTGAAGTCAGAGCTCATCGAAATGACGAAGCAGGGAAGATCGTACTGCAGTCTCCAGGATGTGATTGATGCTACTGACCACTCTCGCGTACCAGAGGGATTCACACCAGAAGAAAACGCCGTCATCATCCTGAGGTTCTTCCATCTGTGTGGAGACATCCTCTACTTCGACACCCCGGAACTCCGCAACTTTGTGGTCCTGGACCCGCAGTGGTTCGTGGATGTCCAGAAAACCATCATCACCATCCCGGAGTACCGACGGGATGGAAAGCCCACGCAATGGGAACGGCTTGAGGATGAAGGGGTGTTAGAGGGCACTCTTGTAGATGCCGTGTGGGGGAACAAGAAGAAACAAGAAGACCTCAAGTGTGACCTCATTGCTTACAAAGATGAGCTGCTGAAGATGATGGAACAGTTCGACCTGGTCCTGCAGTGCAGTCCTGAGAGTGAAGATGGAACGAGTACAGCCACCTCAGCAGACACCACGTATTTCGTCCCCTCACTTCTTACTGCAGCGACGGAAGAGGCGAAGTTGTTCCCCAAAGGTACAAATCGCAGCAAGCCTATTTTTGTTGATTTCAATGACAAGTTCTTCCCCATCGGCCTTTATCATCGCCTCGTCATTGCCTGCATGCGACGTTACAAGAGGAAACCACCACTGGCATATGCAAACTGTGCTAGGTTCGTCACAAACAACAGGAGGCAAACCTTCGTCATCACCAAGGAACGACACTACCTCAAAGTGGAGCTGTCGTCGTCGGTCAAAGAAGAGTCAGCCTGCTTCAGCCATGGTCCAGCTGTTCGTGAATGTCTCGATGAAGACCTTAAGAGGATCATCGGTGACTGGATCCCCGGGATAGGGTACAAGTGGTACTTTGGCTGCTTCTGTGCGGAACACAAAGAGATGGAGCGAGAAGAGAACAGGTTCATCCCAATCACAACTGAGGACGTCGAGGAATGGTTTCAGGAAGGAGAAGCTGTCTGTGATCAGTTTGAACCTGCTACTACCACGATTAAAGACATCGGCCTCGCACATTGGTACCAGTAAGTATGCTTTGTATGGTTCAACCGTGCTTAGCAATGCCTCAAGATAGCGAAGTTTTTTTTCCGATGTCGCAGGAATATGAATGTTTTTTTCTTTGTTGACTTTTGACCTCTGCTATTAATTTTGAATTTACCTTATTAAGTTTTGTAATCTCCATATACCGTTTGTGCAAGTTTTGTTTATGTTTCATTTCATTATGTTATGTTGACCCCAGGAAGAATAGTGCCTAAGTACTAATGGGGATCGAAATAAACAAACAAACACTGGCTCGAAACATCACCGCGAAAAGTACACATATCATATCATATCATATCATATCATATCATATATTAAGTAAAACAGTTGTGACGATAAGTGATTTTTTTTCAATCATTTTTTTTCATCATTGTTTTTCAGAGATGAATATGCCGAACAAAGGAACATAGTCCTGCCACAAGCTTCATCAGGTTGGTGAAATAAACTTTTTTGTTAAGTTAAACAGTCGAGAATGTGGCCAAATAAAGCCACAAGCCCCCAGCCAATCAGAGAGCGCGCCGCGCCATGACGTCATTTTCCCGCGGATGAGCCCCACTCCAAAGGAGCGATATCCATGTGTCTGCAGGTAGATGTAGAAAAGAGGGTTCTAGAGCGATAACAAATGTTTTAAAAATTCATTCATCAAAACCTGACCACTCTATGACAACTAGCGAAAGAGCGTCGTGCGTTACCGCGCGAGAAAAAGAGTCCGATGTTAGGGCACCCCCCGTGTTACACCACGGAATATATATATTGATAAAACTAAGTATTGAAGGGTAGATCATTGTCAAATATATTTGAAACCCATGAGTCGCTTGAAAATCACATTCCTGTAACCATATGCAGACGATGCAGTCGCCCAGGAGATGGCAAAAATGCAACTCAGCAACCGGCAACACATGGCGGTCCCACCTGAGGTCGACAGCGAGCCAGTCACGGAGAAACAGCTCAACATGCTGGCTGGGAAGCTTGGTGAGTTGTCGAGGTTTTGCATTTGTGACGTGTTCAATGCGACATGATAGTAAATAGGTACTCTGTATACTAGTAATCATTGTACATGTACGTAAGCTACATCGTACCCAATATCGTGCCACTCACAGAGAGAGAGAGAGAGAGTCAGAATTGCTACTCAGTTACTGAAATAACATGAGCTTCACCACTGCACCAGAAGACAATTGTGAACTCGCAGGGACACTGATTCTTTATAATGAATGACAGTACATCTACTACACATTTTTACCACACAGGGCTAGTATTACAACAAAACATGTTGCTCAGACATGTTGAGAAGTCTATCGTTTAGGTCACTGAGTTTGTTAATGTAGCTACCGTGTCTCGCGTTTGCCATGAAAATGACAAGGTATCTCTGTGTTTATCCAGGGAAAGACTGGGAGAATCTGGCCATACACCTGGACCTGACGACGGCAGACGTGGACAGGTACAAGGCAGACAACCCTTACAACACCAGGTCACAGATATTCTCCATGCTGATGGGCTGGAGGGCCAGGAAAGGGTCCGGTGCGACGGTGGGGGCACTGGTCCGCAATCTGGAGGAGTTTGGCGTCGCTCTGGACACGTTTGAGTTCCTAACTCAGAAAAGTTAGATCAGGCTAGTCCTTTGAGATGGATCTAGAAGCCTGGATCTAGATCGAGAAAGAAAGAAAGAAAGAAAGAAAGAAAGAAAGAAAGAAAGAAAGAAAAATTGTTGTATTTCTATATATCTAGGCACTTAGTCTAATTAGCTTTCCAAATTATTTTCCATATTTGTATATTCTGCTTATAAAAAATAATGTACATTTGTATGGTTAAGTTTGCATCGTCCTGAAAAGCACCCCCCCCTTCTGCTCTAGGTGGAAAATTGCACATTCAAAATATTTTTAAAATGTTTAAGTCCAAATCTTGAGAATCATGTGCATTTGGACATTGCACATGGGTAGTTCGAGCCCTGATATCTTCTTATTCATTCATGTTGGAAAATATCCAGCTAAATAAATGTAAGGAGGCGATGATGAATATTGCAAAGAAGCATCAGAAGATGTATTTTCAAAAATGTAGAGGACTTTCATGGTATTGAATGACTGAAGATTACTACTATGATAGGTATATATGATGTATGTGAAAACTCCATATAAGCCAAAGGCACAAAAACTGTGCCGCAGAATGAAAACTTGCCCACAGACTGATGTAAACACAACAAATTATTTTACATGTACTTCTTATAAAAAATAATGTACATTTGTATCATGGAAGATCTTTTTTGTGTTGGACCTTAAGTTTTAACCCTAAACAGTACTAGATCTAGTAGTAAGAATCAAAATGTCAGTTGATTCAAAATGTTTTATGGCAATGTTCTGAATTATAGAATAGAATAGAACTTTATTGCACGACAATTGCACATGGTACAATGTATGGCAAACTACATAAGGAGAGTAACAACAATAAAATAAGTGTGTTGAATAAGACCTAATGTCGAATAAAACCTAACATATCTATATCATAATTATTCAAATAATAAGGGATATCACAAGTCTTTGATAAAGTGTTACAATCGAGTGGGCTAATCACAAGTTTCAGTATTTTTTCTAATAACAAAGCATTCCTTTATATATCTACCTATTTTTGCGTTGTGGGGACCATTACATGTAAAGATATATTCAAATCTGTCTCCAACATCAAGACTCTTGAAATCTATGGTACTTGATTCGAGAAATGTGAATAGCTTGTTACGTATAACATCATATTTGGTACATTCCATAACAAAATGAAATTCATTTTCAATATGCTTTGGACAAAATGGACAGAACCTTTGGTCAGGGGCTATATTGTAATATCTACCTGTTTCAATATTCAATTTATGGCTACTGATTCTTAATTGAGTTATTGCTTTACGAATTTCAAAGTTATCTATATCACAAAGGTATGTTTCTTGGTCATAACAGTTTTATGAATGACGTGAAGGGACAGTCGAAGATGATGCATATTTGTTTTTAAAGATTTGATCGCTGAAGTCTGCGAATTTTAATTCTTTAAAATGATTGTTTGCGCTTTGTTCATAGATTAAACTTTCACAGACAGAACACCGAATGAGTCTCTTTTATTCCATGATCAAAAGTCACCTGCGTTTCTCGTGATCTTTTCATAATTAAACCGCGAGAGCTGGATGTAAATGTGCCCGAGTGTCTTACTCTCTAAACAAAGATTTTGGGGTTTTGCGTCTTTTTAGGCTTTTTTTATCGTGCTTTCTATTTTGCACTGGTATTTTTTACACCAAATATACCAGACTAAGTGCAAGAAAAGAAAGCCCGATAAAAAAGCGTAAGATGACGCCAAAAATAAGCCAAAACCCAAACCTTTGTTTGGAGAGTAGAGTGTTACAGAGCTTGTCAGTGTGAGGTCACACCAGTGAGGTCACACCACCTGATACGTTACCTTTCACCTTTTACAAACAAAACAAAACAAAACAACCGCGCAGGTGACCCACAGGTCATTTCCTACTGCTGCCATGTAACTACTGGTAAACAAATATCATAAATTGTGGAAACGGTCAGTGGAGGAAGAAACAGCCGTATCTTGGACAAACCTAGCTTCCACACTATAGCCGTGTTCCAATACACCAAATACAGTGATTTTACCCTGCACAACAAGAAACATTTTGTGAGGCTTGTCATTCATTAACTTGGACGGCTTACCTGTAAGAATGAATGTCCAGACCAAAAAAAAGTTACGTACGAAATCAGGTAGAAGAATTCCATGTACATGCTCTGTTACCGATTGTCCGAATAAATGTTTGTTGGAAATTATTATCAAGTCTGGTATTGCAACTGGGACCTTTCTAGTTTTTAAAACGATCGCACGGTAATTTGAGCCTTGTTTGAGGGATACACTACTTCCGGGTTTCGTGTGGGCAGGGGGCAGACATTTTGGTAGACGGTACCGTCTGTACACCTGTGCAGTTTAATACCTTCAGCAGTGCCCCGGTACCGGACTATGTCGTCCCAAATCTCTGCACGTGTCCGACTGTACCATAAAATATATGAAAACCTGGTTGATAGTGACGTGAAGAGCCTCCGAGCCATGCTGGCTACTGACAACAAGCTAGGGCGAGCTAGACTCGAGAAGGCCAACCCTCAGGAAATCTGTATCATGTTGGAGGAGGCTGGTGTGATTGGCAAGGGGAACCTGGGTCTTCTGATCGAGCTGCTGTCAGCTCTTGGGCAGAGAAGGTTGGCTGAGGAAGCAAGGAAAGTCGAGGAAGAAGAACAGAAAGCTCTTCAAAGTGAAAATGAAAGAAGTAAGTCTGTGTTTAATAGACAGTAACGCCCACTCAAAATCCACGTTACTTGTTTGTATTTTCTTGCCATGCTGGTATGCCCTATCCCCCTGAACCCTGGTCACCAATCTAAAGCATGACTAGTGTCTTACACGGTACACACACTTTTATTCAGCATATACATGTACAGAACAACACACGTTTTCCTTGTAGCCTTTTCCATGACGAACCATGTTACGGAGAATATGGACTAGAGTTTCACAAAGTGTGCTTTATCGTTTGTGCTTAATAGAGAAGGATAACGACGTGGTCGACAGTTTGGAAAGACTGGCGGTCAGAAGTAGTGAAGCAGACAACACCAGCAGCCGTGTGACAGAACAGCAACTCAACAAATTGGCGGGAAACTTAGGTAGGTCACAGGACAGGACAGTCATTATGACTAACAATACATACATACATGACTTCATTGTGGTGTCTTCAAAGAAGAAAATATTCTGTGATAATTACTCGTTATACTGTTGTTATCTAACAAGAACGGTACTGTCTATGAGATTGTTCAATGTGGAACTTTGAAGCCATGACAAACCATGTATAAATTTATTTGTGATACTAGTACCTAGGTCTGTTTATTGACATAATGTGTCTACTAATCTTCCTGGAGTCCTTCCATCATAAGTAAAATACAATTATTGCATACTGTCATAACTACAATTTCATACAACGGCAGCATAAATAACAATTGTTTAAGAATAACCAAAACCTGTGACTATGATATAATAAATATAACAATAATAATACAATAACTACAATAAAGGTATACAGTAAAATATAGTAGAGAGATAAATCAAAACTTTCTGTTTGTTTTCCTTTAGGTTCAGAGTGGGAGAACCTAACCATACACCTGGGCATGAAGAAAGCAGACGTGGATAGGTTCAAGGCAGAAAACCCCTTCAACATGCGCTCTCAGATTTTCTCCATGTTCGTGGACTGGAAAGCTAAGACCGCGAAAGACGCCACGGTGGAAAAGCTCGTTAGCGAGCTACGCAGTTTTGGTATTGACCAGGATAAATTTGAATTTCTGCTAAATGAGACATAAGATGAAGTTTTTATACTTAGTAAAATTGAAACAGTCTACATCAAAGAACTTTGCCATGTCTTTATTTCATGTCTGTCATCTTTAGTTGGGGTAACTCAGTGGATTGCTTGCTTGTTTGTTTGTTTGTTTGTTTGCTAGTTTGTTTGTTTGTTCTCCTTTAGTGTTACAGTGGCATGACCACTAGCTTCTTTACGCTGTGGTCACAAAAGAGTTAACATAGAAGCAAACACATCAAGAACATACCATAAGTTATAATAATAATTTAAAAATAAGAATAATAATAATACCTTGAGTAAGATCATTACATAAATATAGTGCTAGATGATAAGGACTTCAGGACTTCTCAATTAACATCAAATGCATGATGCCTTTAACCTCGAGAGTGTTACACTCTGAAAGACCCAGTGCACATTCAATTTGTAACGTTACACTAGTGACCTTAGGGTGCCTTTTAATGTGCTGAAACTGGCAAAAAAAAGTCAACTTATTACTATGCAATTTTCGAAAATCTAAATCTGTTGTGGACGCGATTTCTCATATTTCCGTGTGATATTATAAATTAAACTGAGATTTATTACAATTTTGCCTTACCTGCAAACATGTTTGAGATTACTTTTAGAACTGACAATTGACAATGAAATTGTCATTCTTGAGCATCAGTTTAGACCCTTTTATTTTGGCAACAAGTTCATAACAAGCAAAGAAAGCTTGGAATGACATTGTCACGAAGAAAATGCAAATGCATGCGTGCATGCACAATACACCACGTAGATGTGCTACTAGCATCAGTGTTCTTAGGTTAGTACTATTATTTAGAGGGCTGCCATAGTCTCGCCCAATGCATGACGGGTAACACAAACAAGTGTCAACGTACTACTAGTATCAGGCGAAAGGTCAGCTGGCAGGAAGCTCGCAACCAGAAGTATGTGGCTCCAGTACTCCTGTTACGGCCACCATTAGCGATACAATCTTTTCTTAGGCCTGAAGAAGGACTCCTTGCAAAGCCAATACTACTCCTACTTGGGATTTAACTACCTCGGGTCTGTTGTAAAGCTGGCAGGTGAATTGTTGTCAGCTGCACGTATAATATGTTGGCTTCATGGAGGAACTCAAGTTGACCCGCCCAACACAACAGTCTTCTCAGCGTTCCTTCCTGTAACGTTCTAACTGGTATCTGACTGTGGTAAGTGGATCTAGAAGTATGGAGGAGAGGCACAGGAAAATCCTGAAAGGGAAGTTCAAAGACCTGACCAGGGACCTCAGACCTGACGATATCATGGACCACTTGGTGCAGGAAGATATCCTAGACTTAAGCGACCTGGAGTTGGTGCGGGCACAACCAGTGAGCAAGCTACAGGTGGAGAAACTACTGAGTATCCTTGTTTCCCGGGGTCCCAGTGCCTTCCATGTGTTTCTGGAGTCTCTTGAAGACCGGTACCCGTGGCTGTACGATGATATGAAAGAAGAAGATGAGAACACGAGCCCAGGAAGTGACGAATACATCACTCCCAGTGATGCACGCCGTCCCGTACAAGAAACAAGAAGGACGTCGGGCTTACGCCAAAGAAGCGGCCGTACCGAAGACGACACCCGTACCACGCGCCTTACCCCGCGTCCTGAGCCCGTGTACGTCCCTCCTGAAGTCGCCAGCAAGCGGGTCACCGAGAAACAGCTAAACACCTTGGCCGGAAACTTGGGTCAGTAGTAACTATAAACAGGTGTCACATGAATGTGTACTCCTGCTAAAATAAATGTGAGATTTGCTCTGCTCTCTTTAAGAGCTTTAACAGAATGCTATTCAGTTTCTCTGTTTTCCACTACATTTTAGATATTTTATCTGAATATTTATTCGCTTTTTAGCATGTGATGATAGGGCTAGAAATAACGTCTGCATGTGCAGGTTAGTACAGGCAAAATTGGAGCTATGCATGTGTCTATTTGCACCAAACCTACACTTGGTGTACTTGGTGTATGTGAATGTTTGCTGAATTGACTGTTACCACCTTTGAAGTACGAAATAAATAGTGGTAATCGTTTCTGAATACTACTGTTCAATGTGATTCATACGTCTTTAAATTCAGAGTAGTGCAGGTAAAATCTAAGTAAATTTCAATGTTACCCGCACAGAAAAATATTTGGAGCCCAAATAACCAAATTTCAGGTCTCCATGGAAGGAATGACAGCAGCTTATATAATGGTAACAAAGTTTTCTCATCTTTCTTCAGGTTTGGAGTGGGAAGACCTGGCCATACACTTGGATATGAAGAAGGCAGATGTGGACAGGTTCAAGGCAGAGAACCCCTTCAACATGAGGTCCCAAGCCTTCTCCATGTTAGTCGCATGGAAGGCCAGACAAGGGACGAACGCAACCGTGAGGGAGCTAGTGGACAAGCTTGAAGACTACAGGATTGACCAAGAAAAAATCAGATCTATCATAACGTAAACAAATATGGCATAGATGATCCGGAGTCAGTAAGTTATGATCAGGGCATGGGGGCAGTAACTTCTGAAATACACAGTGATATTATTGAATCAGATATGATGATGGTGGCTTGTCATGTACATGTACATTCCTTTAACTAGGCAATGTCCGGTGTCCTATATGACACAACGCAAAATAACAAAAAAATGAAATAAAATACTTTGCCACTTACACGTCGTAGTTGCAGTAATTGTCAAGTTTAATGTATACGCAATTGCATATCTCTTGCTCTGTAATAAATAAATTTCCAGCTGCATAAATACATTTCCAGTGTGGAATGGTGTCTTGCTTGAATTGTAGATTAAACAGTCACAAAATGACATTAATGAAATATGTTCTAACCATAGAACTTGTTTTCGCTTCTACTTGTTGATACATTACAAGATTGTAAATTTAAGTGTCCGCTGTGGTAGCCGTAAAACATTATTAAATTGTATTTTTACACGTTTTAGTGTGTAAATTGTAAAATGATTTATTATAGTTGTTTGTAGCCACCCCCAGTAGTTATCCCAAACCCACGACACTGGGCTACGTGCAGTACACACATGACGTGACGCTGTCCAGTTACCTTTGACTTGCGGCAGTACAAATAGGTACCTTGACACCAGAGGCCACCTTCTATTGTTGCACGAATGTAATCGACTCGACGATTGGCTAGCGTGACTATTTTGCGCATACAGCTTTGAACTCCCCCATAAAGGAGCTAAGTAAATTGTCGACCAATAGTGTACTTGCTTACTATGAGGACAGACTCGGCTACCTGGCGACGTCTCTCTCAGTCTGGACCCCTTTGGAAGCCTCGAAAAGGAGCGGGTGCACCCCACAGTTTCCTTGTCGGGGTGTGGCATTCAGTCTGATCTATCGTGAAGCTATAACTATCACTGAAGCTATAACTAGCCCAACTTAGACCAGGAGAAGCCTTTCGAAGACCGAAGAAACATCGAGAAGCACAAGTAAGTACCTGATGAATATTTGATTATGTGAAAAACAGGTGTGTAACTTTGGTTTCACTTTTGTCACGTCCCTTTTCGGGGTGTGGCATTCAGTCTTACATAGTGTCTTACATAGTGTGATCTCTGGACTTCTAAAGACTATAAAATAACGTTATGTAAATCTAAAAAAATTCATCCTTGATACGTTTTACCGGCATGAAGTTTTCCAAACTACAAATTAAAGTCTTTTACAGATCAAACGGGCCAATAGAAAATTCAGGGGCCCCAAGGGGGGGGGGGGTTAAAAAAGAGTTTGAAGGGTTCTGACAATGAATATTATACCATACTTGCAAAGAATGATCACATGAGGTATTTCGATATCCCTCTTTAATGTCATCTAGATTTGATATTTGTAGAGTTGAGTCTCGTGTGCTTTATGGGTGTTGGTACGTTTCCGAGCTTCCCCTAAAGACTGCCCCCTATTTTTTTTCATTACTCGGTTATGTACGAGTCGTTTTCCCTTGGAATTTGACCTGCAGAGTTTGAGCGGTAACTTTTTTCAATAGTTTCTAGAAAGGGCATCGTTTACTACGGTGCATTTTATTCATTGAGTTATTGTGGTGTACACATTTTATGTACACATTATAATATGTAAAGAGACATAAAAACTACGTGTACGAAAATACCTATGACCTTATAAATGACGTCAGACCAATAGTTTACCGACTAAAATCAATCAATCAACTCGGCATTCAAACTTCATTGTGCAATAATTGTAACAGGTACAATGCATGACAGTACTAAATATCATGACTAATATCTACGCCATTGCTAATAACAATGCTACGAAGTTCTATACACTACGCTACTCTATGTGAGTGGTATAATATACACGTATATGGAACATGGATTACATGATAATACACATTAGTTCTACACTATACCAGTACTAGTATTTCATACGAGACTTCTATATAACGTACGACCAACGCTGTGCTACCTTATAAATGGTACAAGTCAAATTCGGTCTGTATTCAGTGTCACACATTCATTGATGAATATGAATAGCGTTAGTTTCTATGTTTGTTTCTTTTTGTGATACACAGTGGCTGAACAACTATCTCAAGGTGTGGCCAAGATGACTCTGAGTGAAGAGCGTGTGACAGAGAAACAACTCAACGTCCTGGCTGCCAAGTTAGGTTAGTGTTGCTAGTGTCTACTAACTTGCGAATAACAGGTGGTGACATGAACATGGGAGGGGTTTGGTGGTTAATATTAAAAAATAAACAGTAAATTAAAGAAAGATTGTCGAAAAGCAGTCGTATGACCGTACAAGCATATCGAGAATAAAGAATGGATTACTACTACTACTACTACTACGACTACTTCTACTGCTACTACTGCTACATTAACAGGTTAGGTTGCAATTGTACATGTTCAAGACCTAACTCGTTGATGATACCAAAAGTAACGTTAACCTAAAACAAACACTTATTTTCATGAATCCACTGATGATGTGTCATATGGAACAGTATACAAGTGTACTTGTAATGTTTTGGAATTTAGGTGCGGAATGGGAAGACCTAGCCAGACATCTAGGATTGAAGAAAGCGCAGATATATGCGTGCAAAGCAAACAACCAGCTCAACGTGCAGTCCCAAATATTCGACATGCTGACGAAGTGGAGAACTAATGCCTGGGAAGACGCCACCGTTGCGAACCTTGTTCACAAGCTTCGTACCTGCGAGCCCGATCCCATTGACAAGGAGGCATTCGAACATTTACTTCCCCCCAAGGAGCAGACAGATGGGTCAGGTATGAACAAGGAACGTCCTTGGTATGAAGAGGCATTTCTTCAAACCAACTAACTAGATCTAGCGATCTTTGTGGTATTGTTTAAGAGTTGAGTTTTATTGGAGAGCGACGATTTTATGTGGAGAGTTAAAGACCAAACGTCGAAATGACACCAAAAAAGTCCGTAAAATACAAACAAATATCGGCCTTCTAAAAGTGAATTTCGGAGACTCTCTAGCAAGCTTCCCAATCGCCCACATCGGGCATCTCTATTTGCATCTCTATTTTTGCATCTTTGTGTTTTACTTTTGCCTTTCTGTGCTTTTTCCTGAGCTGACATCACTGGGTGACATCAGCTCAGGAAAAAATATAGACATGCAAAAATAACATGTAGAGATGCAAATCGCCTGCCAGTACTGGCTTGTGCTGACTTTTCCAAGGCAGTGCATTACAATTTCGAATATAACAGGAGAATTGTGCATATTTATTGTAAATGTGTCTGTTAGCCAGGTAATACTAGTTATGTAAATTACAATCAGCTAACGTCATATTTTGGTGTCATGAGCACTTTAAACATCAAAACTAGGCCACGTTGAATCATTCAAAGTAAAGGTGTAGAATACCCGAAATCAGTCAATTTCCTGCTCTTTTAGGATCCGGATCAGCAGAGGCAGCGACACCACCGGTACAGGAACAGACAGCACCGACCTCACTTGACCCAAGGTTAGACGACAAGGTTCTCTAAAAAGTAGCTAAGTTATTGTGACAATCCTACAACACTATATTCAAACCACAATTGTATGACCAATTGTATTAGATGTCGTCGAGTTGTACGTTGGATAGTTTGCTGAGGTGGTAACTTTGCATGCAGTGGTCTCCACTAATTCTTGTTAGTTTTCATCATCATGTTAATTTTAGTGGAATCCAAATAAACTATTTTAACATCAAGAGTAACCCTATGCCTATGTATCATATCAGGGTGCTTCAGCTTTTGCAGCAAGCAACAGCCATCGTGCAGAAGACGAATCCTGGTGTCGACTTCACTAAGAATGAAGAGGAGATGCTGCAAAAGATCAAGGAGTGGAAGGCACCGCTGAAGAAGCGTGTGGAGAACTTTTCTAGTGCCATCAACTATAGTATCGATTATGAAGGGTTTTCCGCAATTAATGACAGCATGAAGTCAGTCTGCTTAGTAGAATACCCCGATGGTCATGGCTCCGGGTTCTTGATTGGTCCCAAATATGTCATAACTGCTAATCACGTTTGGGAAGCAGCATACACAAGCTTCAGCCAGGTTACTGACCCACAGAAGTTCCTTGTCCATTTCCATATTTCAGGTACAAGGAGGCTGACCTTCATATTCAAACCTGATATCTTTCTCGCCCGTGATGGTAACTTAGACTATGCTATCTTTGAAATACACCCAGCATCCCCCACTCTTCCCGCAGTCTCTGAAACAATGCAATCAGAAGGCATATGTCCCCTGGGTACCAGGATAGTTGCAAATGAGGCCGGTGTGGGTAACGAAGATATCGTAGTGATTGTTGGACATCCAGCCGGACAAGGGGGTAGAAAAAGGGTGGACTTTTGTTCCATGGTAGCAGTTGATGCTGTTACAAGTCGGGCTCTTGCAGTGCTAGGACCCCCAGATAATCTACAGTGGCCCGAGCAGCGCCCAGACAGGGGTAGCTACCACACTTCTGTCATGTTTGAGGGCTCCTCGGGGTCTCCATGCTTCACCAAACATGGTAATGTTGTCTTCATGCACATTTGTGGTTTCCGTCCATACAACGACAGGGAACAAATGGCCCTGAGGGAACATAGCATTGTGGAAATGGGGGTTCTGCTGCTCGGTGTGAAAACGCATGCCCAAGACATACTTCCTAGTGAGGTATTCACTGAGATATTTGGAAGTTGAACAGGTCGTCTGCAAACTTCAGTAGTTTGAAGACTAATTCATGCTGAAAGCCTCTTTTGGGTTACAACATAAGAACACTAATATAAACACTTGACAATGTGATTGTTTCTAAGTCTCTCAATGTTGTGTGAGACCCCTGCTTAACATGAACCAAGGATGTTTATTTACATCCCTGTCCATGAGGGATGTAAAGGATTTTTTTCAGTCTTAAATGCAGCCATCGTAGAGTGTACTAGCCTGTTCTAGCCTGTTTCCCTTGGAATTGTCATGACATTGTCAAGTCATATAGCAAAATAATGTAAATTGTGTGAGTTGTTATTAGTAACAGAACTACATTTGTATTGCTGTACATTACAGTAATTGTTTGCTACGAGTGTAAACCCTCAAAACATACACATGTGCCTTGTACATATGAATACTCAAAAGCAGCAACAGACTGTTGTAGAATTGTAGAACTATATAGGAGTTTAGAATTTATAATCGATTGTTTTGTGCCTCTCACAAGACAGGTAGACTTTCTCAATAATTCACTAGCTAGTTAACTAGCGGATAGAATTAGATTTTATAGAAGACAAGACTCTGTGGTCTCAGAGAAAACATACTTTATACAACTTGATAAGAGAAAATACAATACGTTGTAAGGACGGGGTCAAAATCACCCTGTTGACATTGTCCAGTTGTTGACATTCACGATTTGTCAGATTCTTCATTACATGGTGTAGGTTATGAGTAGAAGTCAATCTTTGTATGGAGATAGTTTTAAGAATGATGCCAGATTGACATCTGCAGTTTTAAAGTATAACATTTCAGAAGATTTAAATGATTGTACTTTTTTAAGAGGTGACGGTGCCATAAAGTATACTGTGCTTATTTTTCTTACTTCTAAGATAATAAATGGTGTGTATTAATAAATATATGTGGCTAATGTCTTTGTGTTGTGAATGTAAGGCTTCAGGTTGAAGAGATGAGTATGTGATCTTAGATACAAACATCATCATTAACCTGCTTTGTATTATCTATCAGGTCCACGGAGAATACAGACATACACTGAGTCTCTCAAATACGTTTTTGAAAAATAAGAATTTAAGGGGTTTTCAAAGGAGATTTTATCTTAAGCTTCCACAGATGTGTATGTGTGTGTGTGTGTGTGTGTGTGTGTGTGTGTGTGTGTGACAATGTAAGACTTTATTACACTCGGACTTTGCACAAAAATAGGTATTAACTACAGAAAGTGGTAAGGAAAAATGCTATAGAAGCGATGTTATAACCATTTCTATATGCATGCAATTTTATAATCATGTTTCAGTAAAACAATGCAGCAAAAACTTTGCTAACAAATCTGTGACAAATATCTGTCTAATAGTGTGTTTCAGTCCCTTCTACATGTATCTGCATTTAACGTGTCAACGTGAAACAGAAACATGTCAAGGTGTTTCATTGACATACAAACAAGCAGAGTTACTCCATACATGTACTTGCCCATGATGGACTAGCAGGTGCACCTCGCGCTAAGCATGACGGGAACTATCCCACCCGCAACTCACTTACTTCCGGGTTTGGCGGCCGCCAGGAGACGAAGGTTCACGTCATGTATTTGACACTTTCTGTGTGATATAAAGCCCTTCACGTCATATCCCTGTGTTTGTCGACATTTTCGTACCGTTCTCAAGACCACGGTGGCAGGAGTGCTGCTCAGAAAAGTTCTAAAATCAAGGTAAGACCCATTTTCAACCACTGCATGTAGTTCGCCGTTGACACAGTAAACAAAACTGGAAGTGGAAACGTGTCTTATGGACACCAACTTGCATATCAGATTTTTGTCAGGTTATAGTGATAGGTATTATGAGGAATGGTTTCAGTTCCATTGCGTATCCCGGTCGTTAAGTCTAGAATACAGACGCTCTAAGTCTTTTTGAAGCTTCTTCCTGGCAATGATTTAGCCTTTAGTCTAGCTTCCAGACTTGAGAAGTGGCTGGAAACGGCCCACTGGAAAAGTATTATAAAACATGCCAGGAGAGTTGGCCCGCAAATGGAGTTAATAGTTTGCCGTTCCTTTTGTTGACCAACTCCCCTGGCATGTTATCTCTCTATTTGGCCAATTTCTACTCTCTGCAGCCACTTCTGAAACCTGGTAGAGGCTAGCCAGTGATGACGGATCTAATTCTTGAGGCACCTGTTCCTCTTGATAGCATAATTGAAACCATGATAATTATATTAACTACTTACTATTGAGTCTGACAATCTACATGTGTTAACTTACTATAGATGGAGGCGAGACATCGGGACATCCTGAGGAGGAACCGGGTGAAACTGGTGAAGACCATCAAAGTACAGCACATCACCAACTTCCTCATACAGGTCAGCCATTGGTCAGGAGCTCACTGGCTTCTTAATTAAATCAAATGTGCCTCTTCTGGACTTGGGGCCAGGACACACAACATGCATCATGGCAGTGTGATTTTAACTGTAGATGTAGTAATTGTGTAGTTTGCTAGCTGATATAAGGTTAGTTGTTATTTGTAACCACAACTCAACTTTAAAGGTGCAGAGAGATTTATTCTTATAAAATATGAACTAATATGCATAGAAGATTCTGATATTCAATACAAAAAATATGAACTAATATGCATAGAAGATTCTGATATTCAATACATTTGCCATGATTGTCTCTGATTATATGTCTATTGTCAAAGTTGTATCAAGTCTTGTGTCTATTTTGCCCAAAACAGCTGTTGACAACTAAAATGTTAACATCTTGTCTAGTTTGCTCATAGAGTCATATGCCTTTCTTCTGCATTGTAAGTATTATTTGGCTTGTTTAACAGGTGGTTGTTATGAATAAAGAACTTTGCTATTTGACTATGTGTAATGCTTCGCATTCTTAAGGCACCATTCTGACTTAACATGCAAAATCTGTTCAAAAAAAATCATTGAAGTTGCCATGAAATTATAATAACAGTTGTGATGTTCTGTCCTGTAGGAGGATGTTCTAACAGAAACCATGGTGGAGGAAATCATGGCAGAGAAAACCAGTCATGCCAAGGCAGAACAGCTACTGGACACACTGGTCACCAGGGGACCTAACGCATTCATGGTACGTACTGTCAACATCATGGTCATTTTTGAATTAGTATAATTTTGTTGGCTTTTCTGACATAGGAAAACTACAATGTTGCAATTTGTTTGATAGTACTGTATTTAAATGCAACTGGACATCTAAGAGGGATGGTAGCCTTGGGCCTTGTAGCAGCCAGCATTTCTATGGCTTTCCCCAAAAAAGAAACCGCTGTGATCATAGAAATGCTAGTTGGCTGCTAGAGTCTGTACAGGCTAGAATTATGTACAAAAATATATCATTTCTGGATAAACTGTTGTTTTAAAAAAAATCATCAACAATTTTGGTTGCTACATGTATATACTTCAGAGCTCAGCCTCACGCTCTTTGTTGTATTTTAAAGTTTAGGAGGGGGCAACCTGAACTATGCTTAGAAATTAAAGGAAGGGGAAGAGGTAGAAGCAGTTCAGAAACTACAAGTCTTTTTCATACAGTACTGGAAGCAAGCAGTTGAAAATACAATGTATCAGTATGATCTTTTGATGTACATTGTAAGTAAAAGATGTTTTCCATTTCACCCATGCTTGTTTCCTATGTGTACTAATGCATTGTATACTTACCAGTGCTGTTGGTTCCATGTACATGTTAGATGTTCTGTAAGTCACTGAAGGAATCCTATGAGTGGCTGAGTAAGGACTTACTGGAGCAGGATCAGAAGAGAGTGGGAACTACTGGTACTAGAGCTGTGCAGTGTGAAGGTGGGTATATCTAGACTTCACTTTGAAATCAAACTGTTCCACAGTCAGATTTAGTGTGTTATAGGTGATACAAGTGTTTTAAGGTCATGCTCTAAATGTCAAAGTACCTGCACAACAACATATTGTGAAAAAAAGGCATCTTAAAACATATCAAATAGCTATTAGAAACATTCATGTAGTTTTAGTGTAAGCCCCTACCCGTAAATCTTTTTGCCAAAAAAAGTACTATCAGCAGCATTCGGCATTGATTAATGCATACATTTAACGTTACATGTGGTTGACATCATACAATACAAGGATAACAATGTAATATCCTCTCTAACAAAAGAGCAAGAGCACATATTTCAACTCTAAAAATGTGTTAAACATTAAAAGAATAAACAAAGTGATCTCCATTCAGTTTTAGCTCTTCAGTACTCATCTACTAGTTGTGACATAGAAGACAGACACCGTGAACAGTATTTACAGGTTCATTGTACTGGGAAAATTCCCCAGCGCTTTATGACAAGCACAATGAGCAATGGAACACAGCTTAACGTCCCGTCCTAGGAACTGTGACCCTTTACAGTAGCATGCATGTCTTTTGAGTGACAATAGCCGGGATTCAAACCCAAAACCTCTTGGTCCAGAGGCAGGGAGGCTACTAGTAACCACTGGACTATAATTACTACATTACTTGTCTCTTCTTTTCCACAGAGGATGTGTTAGAGGACAAAATGGCCAGGATGAACCTCCAGGACTCAGCTAGGGGGACAGAAATCCTAAGAGAGAAGGAACTAAACAAGCTAGCCAGCAACCTCGGTGCCGAGTGGGAAAAACTCGCCATAGAGCTGGACTTCAAAAAGTCTGAACTCTACAAATTCAAGGAGGACAATAAGAACAGTGTACATGGGCAGATATTTGATATGCTATGTACATGGAAGGGGAAACAGGGAAGCAAGGCCACAGTAGGAAACCTGGTGCACAGTATGATAGAAGTTAGCATAGGGGAAGATGTGTACAAGTTTCTTTTAGATGAGCCCAGGGGTTAACTTTTGAACAAGGAATACTTTTTTAGTTTAGATATCAAACTTTTGATAGCGTTAATCTTGCTGCCAATGACAATACAGGACCAGGATGGCATCTAGACCAACTATGTGCCTTAAGTCCTGAAGTTAAGATCAGTCAATGTCTTATTGCAGATGATGATCTGTTTGTTGACCTTTAATTGTTTGTCATATACAGAAGTATGGCTGTAAATAAATGCCAAGTACACTGGACTAGAATGTTAAAATCATTGCAATTGAGTCATGGAATATTACAACTTTGAACTTTTATTGTGACATTCAAAAACATAAATTCAGCACCAATACCATTGTTTCGATTAATAATACAGTATCTATTGTATACTACAAATTTCTGAGTCAGAGGCATGATATGTTGGTTTTCCCTTTTCTGAGAAAAAAAAAATGAAATGATGTGTCGATTTTGACAAGCATCTGTGCTAAAGTTCTGGTAATTAGCATTTGATACATTTGTAGTTAAATGCTTCAATGTGATTTTTCCAGCAACTATTACGAGATGTACAATTGGAGATGCATTTTTATTCCTATGGAACTCAGGAATCTAAGTGTCTTAAATGCTCTATTGCACCTTTAAAGTCTAAGGTTAAAATACTGTATATCTGATTCCAAATACTTAGTACCATTCCAACAGAAAATGGAAACATTGTTACTGTATGTGTGTATTGTTATGCTCTAAAATCTTTTATTATTAATATCATATACATGTATATGTGACATGTAGATGTTTATTACTCTCTTAGTTCCAAGCAGCAAAATCTGGGCCTGGAAAAGATGAAAACAAATACCTTCAAAAGGAAACATTTGTAAGACCATTTTTTTAAATACATGTTTGTTGCTTAGACTAGTCTGTCTATGTCTTCCATTCAACACGATTAACATTGCAAAATTATGTCTTTTACGGTTCCACATGCATTAGTACTGCTCAAAATACTTTTTACCATATCAAAACAATGTATTGTAAAGAAATCATTCTGAGCATAATAGTCAATTTTATTATCACAAGAAAAAGATGAAATTATTGACAAAAGAAAAATATATATTTCGACAATTGTATGCAGTTTTTAGATACATATAATTACAAGTGGCTTTACTACATGTATGTGATTTGAAACTTTCAAGGTGAAATACATTTTGTTTTACCTGTTATTGAAGTCCTGGTAGACCCCTGTCAGATGCAGCTGGTACTGCAGGTGGTTGTGGAGGTAGGTCTGTATCATGTCTGGGTGACGAGGATCAACCTCCAGCCAAATAGATCTGCACATGAAACACCAGTATTTTCATTTCCATCAACTGTTTTCAGAGTAGAGTCACATAAACAAATGTAAAGCTCCAAGCCTGTCACACATCCAAAACCTTCCCCGACCAACCTACATAATTGTAGTCTCCACCAGACTAAAAATGTGGGTTCAAAAAAAGGAAAATTTAGAGTTCATTTGCCTTTGCAGTTAGAGGGGGAAATTAACCCTCTTGTAGACTGACTCTTCTGGACAACTATTTCCCTTTTTCTACCGAATTCTAGGATCCGTACCGCCGTAGGAAGGCCTGGTGGAGGCTACAAGCATCCAAGGTTGGCTGAAGTTCGGGACCAGATTAAGGCCATGCATGCATACCTGTCAGTACAAATCAAACCAAATTTGAGTTGAATTTAAGTCAACATTTTGAAACATTTGGCTGGAGAAACTCAACAGTAGCCAACCGCCCTGAACACCAGTCATCCTTGCTCCTGACCTACTCCTAACCATGGTAGGGGGGAGTTCGGCAGAGTTCAGGACTCAGGCCATATTCCTATACTCGGCTATGTGACAGGGGCTTAAGGATCAATATCTACATGATGGCTTTGCTATTGCACAAAATGTTAGACAGAACATGGTAACTCACCCACCAGGTTTGAGTAGCCTGTGTCCTGTATGTATGATGTCTCTAATCACCCCCATCCCATCTGTACCACCATGGAGCGCACAGTAATTCTCATACCTAGGGAAGATATGTGACAAATTAGTAATTACAAAAAATATCAGTTATGAGAAAAAACATCATGGGAAAAAGTACAGACTGACAACATCTTACCCTGCTACTTCTCGTTCCAAGGTTTCCATATCCTGTGTCCAGATGTAGGGAGGGTTGCTGACTATCACATCAAATTTTGTTTCAAAGTCAGCTGAAAAAAAGAGATAAATTGTTAAGACTCAAGCCAGTGTCCTGCATGCGAACACATTCAGAGTCCAAAATGTTATTTCTAAAAAAATCCAAAACTATCACTAAAGATCACTAAAAATAAAAAAAGAAATCTACCTGAGGTGTTGAACTGCATTTGCTTTACATCAAGCCTGCCCGAAAGTCCCAACCTAAATATTGTAGAAAAATGCCATCAGTTTCCAAAGACTAATTGACAAGAAAAAAATTCATATCAAAACAACTTTCAGGAATGGACTGAAAAAAGGTGAGGTTGAAAAAATATTACCTTTCAGCGTTGTGTTGTGTGAGTTCCACAGCTTCTTTTGTCATATCAACAGCAGTGCAATGTGCCTGAAACAAGATAAGTTGATTTTATAGAGGTCAGAGTTGGAAATACCACTTACATATGCAGGTTGGTAGTGCAGGTAAAATTGGAGCTGTGCAGGTATTTCTGATGTCTACCTGCACCTAACCTGCACTTGTTTATGTTTACAATGTACATGTAGGTATATATGGATTTTTCTTTTGTTTTGCTGCATTGACTGTAGCTACCTATGAAGTATAAGAGAAATAATGGCAATGGTTTCTGAACAGTTTTCTGTATCGATCCATACTTTGGAAATCCTTAATTCTGAGTGGTGCAAGTAAAACTTGTCTGGTACAGGTAATTTTCAATGTTATTGGCACTAGAAAAAAAGAATTTCAAACCCTGCCAATGTTAGGATTGTGTGGCTCCTACAATAAGAAGTTTATTCCCACAGATGACAGTAAGTCCCTGTACCTGAGGAAACTCCTGTAACAGTGATAAGGAGATGGCTCCACTCCCACAGCCCACCTCCAGGATAGCCAGCTCATCCTCCTGTCTGGTCAGGTCCTCCTGTATGTACATCCACAGGTGTTCTACTAGCTCCTGGACAGAGATAGGCAACGCAGGATGAGTATGATGAATGATTTCATCAAGTTGGGGAATGATTGAATAGCTGTTGACTTACAGTACAATGTACAGTTGCTAATCAAACTTGTACAACATAGCAAAGTTCTTTACTCACAACCACTTGTTTTAAAAGAGCTGACATTTTGATGACCGAAGATTGGGGTGTGCTTAACGAAAGATGTGAAGAGTACAGAAGAGTCTCTGTTCTGTACATGTACCTCTGTTTCAGGCCTGGGGATGAAGACTGGAGGTCTCATGATCAGGTTCAGGTCCCTGAAGTCCCACTCACCAAGGATGTACTGTATGGGCATACTGGAAGGAACAGTCATCACTGTTGTCATGAACAAATGGGGCACCCTCGTATCTTCATTTTATGTCTATGATAAATACAGCTAAGATACATTAATATTAATCTCACAATCTTGCATGTATAATGAAGGAACCAAATATGTAATTTCAGAATCACTGTTGTCTATCAAAAGAAAAAAACACATTTTTGATGCTGAATGTGTATTGCTGATGACATGCTCAAAATATTACTAGAGTAAGACCAAGAAGCAGGCATGTTTACCGCTTCATCCTTTTCTGACACAGCTCCGACATCCTGGTCCTTTCCTCTGCTGTCAAGTTCTGTACAAGTGGACTGATGAGGCTGAACTGGATAGAAGTGTGAGGAGTTCAAACACGGTTATAACATGAAGAAAAGAAGTTTATACTAGTTAAAACTTTTGTTGCAACATAAATAATTGTTCTCACCTAGAGCTTTCGACCAGTCACTCCGGTCTTCCTCGGTAGACTGACCCAGTGAGGCTTGTCACATGGCTTCTTTGAAGTGTGACGTCAACACTGGGTCAAGTCTCACTGGATCAGTCTATTGAAGAAGACTAGAGTGACTGGTCAAAAACTCAAGGGAAGAACAATCCTTTGAGTTGGATCAAAAGATTTCCCTTTAAACACGCTACTACCAACACAGATGGACTTCCATGATACATGCAGTATGAAGAGAGATGCATTTCTTTTTCTTATTCACAAATATTGTCTGCACATTCTTCTGAACCTATATAGATTGTCAGAATAACATTGCCTCAATGGTATCAAAATGAGTGCATCATTTACAATCAGCAGAGTGACAAGTATGACAAGTTCTACAACTGAAGGACTAAGATCTAACATAATTTCCAGCATAAAGCATAAACTTACTGATTTATAACCCAGTACATGTGCTGCTATGTACTCTGCCGATGCATCAGGTTCAGGCACTCCTGCTGTTTCAAACTCCGCAGTCCAGTAGGAAACTGCCTCCAAGACTGAAATGTTGTCCAAAGTATCCCTCAGTAGCTCTCCATCCTCATGCCTTGTAGTTACATTTGTGCAGTATGGTCTTAGTCTTGCAATTGAAGAATTTGTTGACTTAGAACTATGCAGAGATGATGGAAGACATTTACTAGTACTATGAAACTCTCTATAGTTCAGGCAATGCTGGCTTACAGTTACAGGGTAGCAGCACTGGTCCACTTTACTACTATATATGGTAGTACATGTACGAAGCCTGACTCCTTGTGTGCAAGCCCTAAGGTTTGAAAGTCTTTTCCAATAGAATGTTCTATCTTGTTGAAGAACTCGCTGTAAAAGATGCCTCATGGTTTGAACTTTCACAGTGGATCCACAGACCTCTAGCACTAACTAGCTTTGTTTGTTCTCAGTGTTCAGGTTTGCCTCTCTCAAAAGACCCGACCTGTTGTACACTAGTGGTCCTTAACGTTTCCAGTTGTCGCGTGCCCCTGCGGATCAGGAATTCGATACGCAGAACGTCGCTCTTCGGAAGTTGCGCGTTCTTCTTGAACTCGGCCCTGACGTGATTGGCCAGTCCGGGCTTGTCCTTGGACAGAAGGAGGAACTGTTTGTAAAGACTCAGGACTTGCTTCTGGAGTTGGCTTCTTCTTGCTGCCATGGCAACGTGGGCTGTGTACTCATCTTCTTTAGCTGGAGGCTGTGGAACGGACGTAAAAGTATCAATTCAGTAAAAGATTCTTGGGATTTGTAAGAAACTTCGTAACATTACAACTTACATGTAATACAATATTGCTAACACGTGCACAATGACCAGCAAGAAACTTCTTGGTACATGCACTACTCCTAGCAACTAGTATGATGTAGCCTCTACCAGGCTTCGGGAGGCGGCTATTTAAAAGAGAAGAAATTGGCCAAATAAATAGAGAGATTACATGCCAGGGGAGTTGGTCCTCTAGAGAGTACAGTTTGCGGCACCCGAAGCCTATTGGGGGTTGCTAGTCGTTCTTTCAGGTGCAGCAAACTGAAGTCTGCATTTGGCCAATTTCTACTCTTTCCGGCTACCTCCCGAAGCCTGGTAGAGGCTTTTAATATCATCTGGTCTCCTCCTTGAGTTCTTGGTAAGATTACTACTAAATCTAAATCTACTCTTGACTACTGCCTAGGATGGTGATGTTGCTAATAGGGAGTTCTAGCTGTTGTTGTAGTATTAGCCACTAGCTCATTACACTAGGAGATCTATAAACCATGCATAAAGCCATAATTTGTTAATTACCTGTCCAACAGTGTGTTTCTCTCTGACAGAGAACTCGAATGACCTTTCTAAGGTCAATGACCTCTAAATATATCCCAGAATTCCGTATTTTCACAGCTCCGCGCAAGCGCTGTGACCTACATTTCCGGTAAAGAGCCCGGATGTGGCCGGCATTTTCGAAAGTTTCTCGACTTTTCACTTGGGTGACGTTACCTTTCTGTCTCTTTTCCTTCCTTTCTGTGCAGGTTTCCGCGTCGGTTCAACTACAAGAAGGTGGGAAAGTAGTTTTGTTATCAGTTGGTTGAAGATTTATGTGTGTGTTTTGCGCCTGGGTCATGTTTAACGCACCAGAGACTTCAAGAGTCCTTCCTGGGTAAAAAAAAAATGAGGTCGCCCCAAATATAGGAGTACTGCGTCTGTGCCTACGTAAATAAATTCCAGCAAACCTGGCGGTATATTTGGCAAGGTTGAGTCTTGACTGGGAGCCTGGAGCGCGTAGTGGCGCATCAGGACGAACGGGGGGCCAAATGTGGCGACTTCCATGCATGGACGAGGCCGTTAGAAGTCGCGGTAGGCGGGACGGACAACAACCCGGAAGTAGAGGCTATGTCATCCGAAGTATGTGCTACAAAATGTTCTCCTTACATACGCTCTTGTGAAATGAGTTTTTGATCTTTTCCTCTCATCTCATGATCTCCACCGGGCATCTACTCCGTGCAGGAACGCAGACTGGTAGGGAAGAATGTTTACTTTAAGGAGCCTGGTCTCCGCGGGAAGGATTGCATGCTATGCCAGGTCAAGACTACTTGAGAAGTCTTGGCAGCAAGGCCAGGTCTATCTTGGCGCGTCCACTTTTGGTGTGTATCTCTTCTGTTCGGCTGACTGTTTGTGGCATGTGGTTCTAATGTCTGTGGATGGACTGAATGGACTGGACATAGAGGCATGACTATAGAAGAGATTTCTAATATTCTTTTCATAATTTGTGTCACTCTTTATAAAATATATGAATGATTGTACAGTGAATTTGTAGAATGGGATGGTTTTACTCAAAATTTTGTGAAAGAAAAGGAGTGAATTGACTGGACAAAGAGGCATGACAATATGTACGTGTTAGTAAGAAATTATTCTGTTCTTTGTGTTAGTCATTATAATCACAACAAATGATTGTACAGTGACTAAGAGAATTGGTAGATTGAGGACTGGTAGAAAGATTTTGCAAAAGAAAACCTCCCTCGAGACATTAAATCATTAAAGAGACGTAGGCATGCTAGATAGCAATATGGTAGTTGGTATGATTCACTGTGAATTGTCAGCACTTTCTGGTAGATTGATTGTGATAGTTATACAAATGACACCTGAAATGAGTTCTGAATCTGAGTAGTGTGTTATATGAGTCAGAAGATGTGCAGGGTTTTACATTATATTTTGATAACTGCAATTTAGATCCTCCTTTTCAGTATTCCAATTGTGTGTTATGCGTGTAGTTGTCATTGTTCATCATTGGTTTCTTGTTGGTGCTACATAACAGCGACTGACAGTGCAATTTATAATTTGCACAAAAGTATAAACCTGTGATAATATTGTTCCATATGGTGTGTAATTACACAGGGATTTGCTGGAAAAAAAAACTTTTAAAATATTGCAAAGTTCATTGCTTTAATACACTAGAGGATCACAAATTGAGATTTAATGAAAGAATGTTATTACTTGTAGCAGCAGAAAATGATTAAAACCACAGATTTGCCTACAGGCGTTGTTTTACAGATTCATAAAAGCCAGACACGAACAGTGCAATTTCTAATACTGGAAACCTAATGATCCATCCTGCCAGCGTACTTAGTAATTAAATATTGGGAGAAGGATCCATGAATCAATAGACACATGCGCATCTTGATGAAACCAAAATGATGTTGTGATGGGAAGAGAAGAATATTGCTATCAGAATCAGTTAGATACCAACTGTGGTGGTGAATTTTGTATTTGTGATAATTATCGTCTTTCATATTCCAAACAACATACCGATAATGTATATACACAACAGTGTGAACACTTCAGCATGTTTAGAAAGATTTGTTAGGCCACACCAATTTATTTTGTTGGTTCTCGGATTTTTTCAGAAAAAAATATGAAGCGACAACAGAGCAAAAAAAAATGGAAATAAAAACAGGACTAGGCATCCTATTACAGCCCCAAATGCTTCAATAGGAGACATGAAGTCAACATAAAAGGCAGGGTTAATATTTAAACAATTAATTTTGAACTTGTAATCAAACCACTGTATCGATAGATGGAAAAACTGTAACAACTATCAAGAAAAGGACTGTTGGGGGCAAAATATGAGCATATTTGAGTTGATTCAGAACCGGAATCTTTTTTTTTTGTTTTTGAAGAGGCAAATCCGTGAACCAACAATTTAAATTGGTGTCGACCTAGAAGAAGTATTCCTATAAGGCCATGTTGATTTGATTATATGGATGACATCTACGCGCGCATGAATTTTCGGCCGTTTCCAAAAAAAAAAAGTTTTCAACCATACTGTAAATCGTACAAAACAGTTGCAAAATGAGCAAAAATATACCATAAGTTACAAAAAAAATTAATAAAAACTATGCCAATGTCGTAGAATGCCAAAATCAAACGAAAAAAGACGAAATTGTAAAGAAATGAATTTGAAGACTAGATTATTCGCCAAACCATATTCTGTGCCATTTGCTCAACCCTCATGACCACGTAGATTTCATAATGAAAGGAACTTTTTTTTTTTTGCAAAACTTTTTTTTTATTCGCACGCGCGCATCAGTTTTGGGGCTCCCGGAGGATGTCATCCATATAATCAAATCAACATGGCCTAACATTTTGTAACAACAGTTTATGAGGATCACTGCAATTTACCATATGGCACCATAATTGGATTTCGCGGGTTGAATTGAAACTATTGGTAACCAGCGACATAATCGTTTGTTTGCACGTCTTGTCTGACAACATTCCTCAAATCAATTCAGTCTTGTCAAAGTAAGATGCTGGATGCCTGAAGACAAGACCATGGTAGGGGGTCTGGTATTCTCCCTACAAAAAATTTTTTAAAGTCATAACCTTGTAAAGTACTGTTTACTGCATATATTCTTGAGAGACAATGTCCTTGGTTACAGCTTCATTCTAAAAAAAATAGATAAAATTTGTTTAAAGAAATTGTTAATTTTTAAAGATTTATCAAGGGTCACAGGGTTCTTAAAAACTTTTTGATGAGAACTCTGACCCTTCATGATAATAAATCTTTAAAAAAATTAAAAGATTTGTTAATTAATGAAAAGATTTTTAATTAAAAGGTGTTTTCTGCATACCTCAATGGTATTCAGGAAACACCCTTACGTTGGTTGACAGTGTAGGGCCCCATACGCTCAAATAGCTGAGTGAAACCCCTCTTTGTATTGTAATCGGAACTGTGACTCAAAAGAAAGTCTCAGAGTCAGATTGACTCATTCTTAGTTACTCATGAAGGTCAGGGTGATGAATCCTTAGTCATCACATGAAGCACACAGAGCACAGGTATGTGATGAGTGGAGTCAGGAATGTTAATACTTTTCAAATAGTTGCTTTCCACTGGATAGCCATAACATGAAGAGTGGGTGTCAAGATCTGTTTAGATTCTGTAGATCTAAGAAAAGATCAAATGTCCCATTCCAAGACCTACAGTCATCGTCAATTAAAAAAAAAGAAATTATTCAAGAATTCAAACACAGTACTAGTACATGCGTACAACAATCCATATTAACTAAAAATCCATAAGTACTCAATAAAGTTTAACATTGCATTATGATATAGTATAAAAGGAATATGCATTTCCTACACATATATTGTTTACGATTGTCGTTTTATCTGTTGCCATCTTCACCTTTCCTTCATTGGCCTGTTTATAATTAGGAAAAATGGAAAGTTGGGTTTTCCTTTTTGTATGACGATGTCAAAGATAATTTTCTCAAGTGTCTATAGGATTTTTCAAAGAAATATCGTTCCCAGGTATCAAAATGGTAAGATCATAATTTATTTGTAAATTGTAGTTGGTATTTCAGTTTATCATGTGTTATTGGATCAAGTATCAGTATGTGCTGTGTCAGATATGAGATACCACAGCGGTATGTCAGGAATGGTAAACAACAGAAGCATGCAGGAGGAACATATGCTGAGGTTGAAAAGGAATTTTTCCTGCTCTTTCCAAGGGCAAACTTGTACCAACACCACATGGCCAGGCTTTACCCGTCCTCAGCTGAGGGAAGTTAGGGTCAAATATCCAAATATACATGGTTCCCTGGGCATCAAGTTAGTAGATGTACTGTGCCTGCCCAGATTTTTCACAGTTTATGTTGGATGTTAAGTCATTGTTGCATTAGAATTTTGCCTGTTGCAAATGATATCTCTTCCAACACAACATATGAAAACTATAGACATGATCTCAACTAGTGCTGTCCTAAACCCAGTCCTGATTCAAATCCAGAGGTTTAGGTTCAGTTCCGCACTGTACGTTACGGGTTTTACACAAGTGCAGTACATACTGCCAGTGTGCTGGTTCCTTGTATGTGTATCTATTGGCAGTGCATCTTTATGCCTGGACCAGCCCTACTAGTAGTTGACTATCAACTACTGCATACTGTACCAATTGATATTGTTTTTTTATCCTGAGTGCCATCATATTTGTTTACTGGAAATATGACAGGCACCCAGGTCATTATTTCATTTTTCAGCATAATTGTCACCATATACTGCATACATTGTATTTGTACATCAGTATAAGCCTGTGTATGATATCAGTCTTAATTTTCAAGAAGACTTAGAATAAAATGCTAGTCTGTGTAAGAGTGTTTTTCTAACCCACTGTTCTTGTTTATTTTTAGGAACTTGTAAGCAGCTGGGCAACTGCAAGATGAGCTTTGACAAGGAGGAATTAAAGAAAAGGCTGACGCCGATTCAATATGAGGTCACCCAGGAGAAGGGCACAGAGAAGTAAATGTCATAAAATTTATCCTCCAATATTGGACCAACTTTGGTCTGTATATTAAAAGTCAAAAGAACTTTTTTTAGCATATGGCTGATTGGTACTGTCTCAGGCTGCAAGTAACAAAATTGCCTAACTTGCCAGTTGATTCTGGAATGCAATTTGCCTAGCTTTGCAAGCTAAAAAAACTGCTGTCCATTTCAGGCAAATCTGCCTAACTGTTTGATCACCACAAGATCAGTATGTAAACTACAATAGTACCTTATCTAAGTCATATAGAAAGCCTATGTTCAATGCTATTGGTGCAGGCCAAACTCCTTTCTGGTTTTCAAAGTTTATTGGTAGCAAAAATTATGCTGAGAAAGAGCACGAATAGAAAGAAGACTAGTAATAGTAAGGAGGTTTAGAAGAAAACATCACATTTGAAGTTTACTGATACAAGATCAAAGAAATGAATTTATTTTAGACTTTCAGTGTATAACAATCATGTCTCTCCTACAGACCTTTTACAGGGGAGTTAAATGATGAGATGAGGGAAGGGATGTACAAGTGTGTGGTCTGTGGAGCCCAACTCTTCAAGTAAGACACTTTCTGTTTGTACATAAAACTGTCCTGGGTTCTGATACCTGTAGTGTATTTTATCGGATCATCTTCATGTAAATTAGCTCCTTATATAGTATATTAGCAGTCTGTATCTTTGGCCATGTATTCTACAGTATTTTATGGACTGATTTTTGCTACTTAGGAAAAATCTACATTGTCATACGAAGTTCAGCATCTTGTGGATTACTGTAAATCATAATTTTTTGTGGAACTTTTATAGTCACGATTTTCACGGCCACTTCTGTACCGTAAATTAGTCATTAGTAATTTACCGCGAACAAATAATTCGACGACTTTCTTTCTTCTGTACCTGCCACTACCGTGAACTTATACGGTAGTTCCGCGAACCTGTCCATTTTTGTCAGACCGTAAAATTTTGTTACCCGAATATAAAGTGATTTACAGTAGATTGCATCTGTATTGTACAACTGTTAGATATATTCTGAATTTCATTGGTTTCACAAAGATTGGCTCCATAAAAATTACATACAAGATTGACATTACATGTACATCGTCAATTATGAATACAAACAATCATTCTATTTATCATAAAAAGTAAACCCAATGACAAGTCTGTTGTGTTTTCCTGCAGTATTTTGTATCAAGAATATTTCTCTAATCAAAAATCCGTCCCCAGTAGAAATTCCCTTGTAGAGATCAGGCCAAAAGCCAGTGTAAAACAAATGCTTATGTAGGAATGACTGATGTATGAAATTGTGCACAACTTTGTTGACCCCTATACCATAGATCTTTGCTCAAACATTAACTGGAGAATGTTGTCTGGGCTGCTTTTGACATTTTCCCCGCGGCACAATAATTTGTCAGTTATTACTGGAGTCAAAGGTGGCAAGGTGTTTCATGTTTTGGTTGTTAAAGTGTGGACAACGCTTCCCTGTAAAGTTTCTGAATCTTTGTCATCTTTATTTTCAGGTCGGAGACAAAGTTTGATGCTGGATGTGGTAAGTTAGGATAATTTTGTTGCCTTTTATAAAATTATGTAGGACAGGGCACAGTACTAGTACTAAGTGGTACTTGTACACTAGAAGTTGGTTTCTTCGTCTGGGCTCGAAATCCTTGTACACTGGTGCAGGTCACATTGAAAATTACCAGCAAGAGTCAGAATTAAGAAGTTGTGATCATACTAAAAACTGTTCAGACACCATTGCCATTATTTCTTTTACACTTCAAATGTGTGACCGTCAATGCAGCAAATAAAAATTGACATAGTTATACATACTATTACATGTATATAAATCCAGTATATGGACTGGTGCAAGTTAGGTGCAGGTAGACATGAGAAATACATGTACCTGCACAGGCTGTACAGCTCCAATTTTATCTGCACTAACCTGCATATGCAGGTAGTCTTTCAAGCCTAGTTCTTTGAATGCCAGGAAAGGTGTGAAGTTTCACTGAGTGTCCTTGAAAGCCATTTCAAACTGACTACAGAATATTGCTAACAAGGTCAGGTTGTACACATTGTGTGGATATATTTTGAGTGAATGACCAACTTCTCTATATGTATGGGCTTATTCTAGGTGCTTTGGATTTTGTATGAAAGACATCATTCAAGTTGACTGCATGACAGCACTTCTTAATCTGTGCAAACTACTTTTAGCCTTCGCTTTGAAGTTGATCTGCTTGTCAGTGCCAGATTACTTTCTTTGTTACGCCAAGTAATTTGCTCAGGTGATCTTTGTCTTCTGGTTGAAACTTAAAGAATGGTCTTGACATGAAAGGGCAACTTGTGGCATGGAACATGGTTAGATGATTAGACTAAGTGAAATATTTGCATACTTTGTGCATGTTCTGTTTTTTGTTGGCAGTTCTGAATTCTGTCAAGAATGTTGAGTTGTCCTAGACATTTACTAAATTCTATCTGTGTGCAGAAACTGTAGTGCAAGATTTAGTCACATAGAGAAGTAAGGAAAGTCACCCACACAGGGATAGCAGACTTCACCCCCGTGGCCATAATGCTTTTGAACATGAAAATCCATTTACTGGTACATGTTCTTTATCCAAATACAGGCACAAACACACACACACACACACATGTGCGTGCACACACACACACACACACACACACACACACACACACACACACACACACACACACACACACACACACACCACACACACACACACACACCTTAGACATGATCTCTCTGCCTGAGGCATTACGTAACTTGTATAAGACATGTCAGTACCTTTGAACAGCATGTCATTGTGAGTACATTGTATTGTAGGGACACGTACTAGAATCATCTCAATACCACAAACACAATTCATGGGACCACCCAGTCTGTCAACATTCCAGCTTTGTCTTGTCCTTTTCACAGTTAGTATTGTTTTAATTCTCACATGGGAAATGTACTGTAGTTTAAGTTTGTATCATCCTCCCAAATCTGCATTTCTCCTACTCTCCAACTCCAAGCAGAGGTTTAGGCTTTGGCTTATATTTGATGTGTAACTGTTATAAGGCATTTTCATTGAGCTTTGTTTTGGTACTGGTATCTTTTTCTAAATGGTAGCTGCCTAGGAAATGGATAGTAGTACCTGGCCAATTTGATATGTATACTGTCTTTCTAGCCACCAAAAAATCTGCATTTCTAGCTTCTGCTTAGACTGTTTATGTTGTCTTTTACTCATTCTCTCCTGTCTCAGTTGCAACACAGCTTTAAACCTAACATAAAATGGCAGAAGTGTCCTTTGATGTTGTGAAGAGTACTGAAGACTGTGAGGCCCATGTCTGAGCTCTGTCACTCCGGAGCTGCCCCTGTAATGAGAAAATGATTATGTCCTGAAAGGACCGCCGTTATTGAAATGCGGCGGTATTGTCGGGGGGAGGACACCATGTCGTGTCTGCGTCTGGGCCACGCCGTCGGCAACAGTACCACCTTACTTTTCCCACCGTCGGGACGTTATCCGCGGGTCGGCGAAGGCTTTCACATGGAGATGTACGCGGCCGGCAAACACTGAGCTCCCTGGTCAACCATTCTTCTGCAGCTTAGATAGCAAGGAGACTAAATGACCATGCAAGCAAGGTCCACAAATTTTGTGGGAAGACTTAGTGTGTGGAGTCGTTGTAAAGACACCACAGTATCTCTTCCCTTGTTGTTCGGCATCAAAATGAAGAGCCATGAACAGTGTATTACTCTACAAAGGGCTGTTCCCATGGCTTGTTCATTCCGACTATGAATGGGTGAATCTGAATCCGAGCAGCCCTTCTTCAGTGGCTGTTTTGTGAAGGAGTCTGTGGGAAAAATATTACCTTTTTTACTTGGAAAATCTCTGTTCCAGACTGTCTGTGGTCTATCAGATCCTCATTTTTAAAACATTTTATCCGAGAGAAATCCTTGATGGAACATACTGTATGTGACACTGAGAACTGTTGAATTGAGGAGGTCTTGTTTTCTCTAACAATACCATTGTATGGCATGTTTTTTTTTTAATTTTGGAAATGTACATGTACAAATACAACTGTATATTGTATTTACCATCTAGTGCAAAGTATTGAAGTATAAAAGAAATAATGGCAATGGTTTCTGAGCTGTCATACATTCTTTTTAAATACTGAATTATGGATGTAAAATTTGTCGGGTGCAGGTAGTTTTCAATGGTGCAGATAAATACGTAGCAAAAAGCCCTGCAGTAGGATGGTTAGCTTGCAGCAAAATACAAGAGAACTTTGTCTGTGGTTCTTGTGGTTATGCACAATTAACTGCAATATCCTGTGGTTTACCATTATCCAATGCAATTTCAGGGTGGCAAGACTGGATTTTCAAAGTAAATTTTTTGGTATAATTCTTATAATGTAGTGACATGAGTCAATCCTATCCCATAGCTATTTATGGGTGGTAGCCAAAATGAATAGATGTCTCATGCACAGTGTGTCTTGTTTGTGGGCTACTTCCAATCAGGCAATGAAATGATGGCGAAAATGTGCTAAGAAATGGCAGTAAGTGTCAATATCAGACAGATTTCCTTATCTAGAATATTGTTTTGCTGCCCTGAAAATTGCACTGGGTGCATTCAAAAGACAGGGCATTTTGCATGGTTCTGATGACACACAGATAATAACTGATGACAACTTTCCCCTCGCTGTACGCTACAGGTTGGCCGTCCTTCTACGATCAGGTCGACGAAGCCGCCGTGACGATGACTGAGGACAACTCCTACGGCATGGTCAGGACAGAGACAACTTGTGCAAAGGTATGACATTTATTCCTTCTGATACATGTACTCCAAACCAGGTCGGTTTGTTTTAACCTTTGTTACCTTCGCGAAGAAGGTTATGTTTTCAGTAGTGTTTGTGTGTCAACACGATAACTCAAAAAGGCTAAGATGGATTGTCTTGACATTTGGTAGGTGGGTAGGTATTGATGAGACCTCGAAATGATTACGTTTTGGACCCCTAGGCGGCTTGTTATGGTACTGCAGTGGAACTTCCAGTTTTGATATTTTGCGATCTGGGCATGCTAGGGTCATGATTTTTTGATGGTAGGTAGCGAGATGGTGAGATCGTGGAGCTCCAGTTAGTTCATGAGTATCTCAAATCAGCCTGTAGGCTGCTTTTCATAGAGGTCAGGAGGGAAGAGGTAAGGGTCGGACAAAATATGTTAGTAGATACAGCGCAATCATGATTTATGGGATACGCACCAGTACCCAAAGTAGTTTGTACTTTTTTCAGGCATGTTGCCATTGTCGGTAAGCAGCAAAAAAATGCCTGACTAGCAGTACTGGAAGACTGTGTTTTTTTTCTGACAAACATGTACATGAACGAACCCTTCGTCATATACCCAGGGCACAGAGGGCCTCACTGTGCTCCACCTCTACCTCGTAAATTAGATTATAGACATAAATAGATTTCATCCGCCAAAATCCCACTAAAGGAGTGGTGTCAATTTGATTAAGGACCCCCCTTGGACCGGGGGCCTTCCTGCCATATTTGCCGGTTATCAGTTTGCTTTCATGTTCCGGGAGGGCTATTTCTAGCACGGCATGATGGGGTGTTTTGACAGCATGTTCTGTGTTCAGCCAGCAAGAATGTTAACGCACTTTGGAGGTAAGACGGGACAGGTACGGACTCCCCGGGAACGTTTCAGTCAGGGGAAGAGGAGCGTTTCCAGGGCTTGAAACACTTTTTTTTCTGCATACCTGCTCTGGTACAGGTGATATTGAAAATTACCAGCACAGGACAAGTTTTACCTGCACCACTCAGACTTTGTATGAGAAGTATGAATCACTACTAAAAACTGTTCAGAAATCATTTCCATAATTCCTAATTCATAGGTGGTAATATTCAATGCAGCAAATGAAAATCCACATATACCTACATGTATCTATAATTTAAACCTAGCACATGGACCAATACAGGTAAGGTGCAGGTAGATATCAGAAACCTGTACCTGCACAGCCCCAATTTTACTCATGCATATGCACCCAGTATTTCGAGCCCTGGTTTCTGTGAAGTTCAATTGACAATGATGAATACAAAGAGGTTTAATTCCACTATCAATATTTTTGTGACAGTTTGAATCCTAGAATATTTTACTAATGAGATGTTCCATTTTTGGTGAAAAACCTTTTGAAGTGTAGAACTTTGTGTTGAGCTGTTACAGCACTGCCTCATGGAAAAGACATACTCCTGAATAGTCCCACTGTACTGTTACGCAACAATAGTACATGTATAATTCTACCAGAAACAAACATGTATCACATCATATACTATCATGAAAGTTCATCTGTGTTGGTACTGGTAGTTACAAGTTAAAACTTTTGGTCCAACACCAAAAAGTTTTCTCACCTAAAGCTTTCGACCTGTCACTCCGGTCTTCCTCAGTGGAGTGACCCAGTGAAGCTTGTCTGAAGAAGACCAGAGTGACTGGTCGAAAGCTTTAGGTGAGAGAACTTTTTTGCGTTTGACCAAAAGTTTTAACTCTAAACATGTATCACATCATCAATCAGAAAAACAACAGACAGCTTAGGTGTTTACTAGAAGTGGCAAGTGTTTCAGCAGCTCTTGAGTTCTAACACGACCTTGAGTTTGCCACACGACCCCTGGACCACCTTGACCGCCAACGACCGTTCGAGTTGACGTTGACCGATGCATGACACTCTAGCCATTCCAGAGGTATTGTCATTAAGATGCTTACACAAACACCAAAATCACATTAAGGTGTTTGCGGAATAAACCAAGCCCACGGGATGAATGTGTGGCCTTGGAATAATCGGAATGATTGAGGGGAGTACTTAGCCTAGCTGAAACAGGAGCCAGGCCTGGTTTACCTGGACCCAGTCAACCGCACACACCACCCCGACTTCAAAGCCTTGCTATCGAGTTACCCTAATGACAATATGATTTATGACATTTGTAGGGGAATCTCCTACTGTCTATCAGGTGATAACATCTCGGAAGATTCACCTGTGATGACCCTCTGGCAGTGTGCCACACCCGTCCCACTAACTGGCCGGCAAGAAAGAGTTTTCCACCATTTCATAACTTTACCTCTCTATATAATCTTCACTCATATTTAGTCAGCAAGTAAATGTTTTGAGTAGCATTGTTGGTCCTCATTTTGCCTTGTAATATGTGTATAGACTTATCCGGGCTTTAAATGATATAAACTGTATCTTTGTTATATATTTTGTCTGACCCTTACCTATTACCTCGTGACCTCAATGAAAAGCGACCTGCAGAACAATTTAAGTGTCTCGTGAATATACAAAGGTTCAAATCTTCAAATGTTTAAACTTCTCCAAAAGCAGTACTCTCAGTACATTTAGCTCCCTTGACCATATCATATTTATTTTTTATCTATACTTCCTATATGACCATATCTTAGGAAGTATCATTTCTGTAGTACTGCTTCAGTACTTCATTAGCTACACCTGTTCAACTCCAGTCCTATCTGCAGGTCATTATAGAGTAAACTATCACCAAAACAAGTCTGGTATCCAGGCATGTGGGGGGACTGACTGGCCAAAATTCCTCAGTTGCAGGTATACAGCTGCATTACCCCCAGACCCTGCAGGTGGCCTGGTCCAGGTGTTTACCTAATTAAGGTGCCTAAAAAACAGGCTAACCTTTGCCGTAACCCTTGCTGATGCAGTCTAATACACACAGGGCTGACGACTTAGCTCTTCAAAGAACATTGCCACAATTATGAGCGAGTGTCTCGATCCCGTCTTATCTGAGAAGACCCTACACAACAGGCACCCTGCCCCGGGGCGGCCTCCGTGTCTCAATACCTTCAGTGTTTCATTGTTTGGGCCCCGCAGGTGTGATAAATTACTAATTACATATTTGCTGAACCTTTAATCACCTGCCTTGAGGAAGACCACAGCAATGGTAACTTTGATGGTTGATCTGGTGTTGAGATACAGACTGTGATTCAGTTTCTACTGCTCCAGTGATCCTGAACTTTTGAACTCACCTCTGGGGTGCGCTTCACACCCATCCAGGCAAATCAGGTGTTAAATTGTGAAAGGGCAAGTTGGGAGGGGTAGAAACCAGCCCTCTGGCCTCCTCATTACCCCTTGTTTCCAATCAGCACTGGAACTGGAGCATGTGCCGTCCCTTTCTGTGCTCACTCTGTCTCTGCCCCCTCTCTTTGTCAGTCAGAAATCAGGTGGCACTAATGTATGAAGACAGGAGGGTCCCCAGATTTCCTACCTTACCTTTGATGTGTATGTCAGTGGATGTGCCTGAGTCTAACATTACTCTCACTAAATGTTACTAAACAATGGTCATGGAAAACTGCAAGTTGTATGATATCAACCTGCTCTCTCATCAAACTAAAAGTCATAGATATGGAAACAAGCTGCTAGGGAGCCCAAAGTCTAATCATTTTGAGGTTTCATCACTGACCTACCAAGTTTTGTTGCAATCCATCCATAGCTTCTTGAATTATCGTGCTAAACCACATACATGTACATACATACAAATGAGACCAAAAACATACAGTAACCTTCTTGGCAAGAGAAAGGTGAAGGTTAGACATCCAGGTAATAAGATACGCCAAAAAGCAGTTACTCAAGCAACTGGATATGATTTTGGAAACGATCAAGGCAAAGGTAACAAACAACTTACCCCCACCATTACCCTCCACATAGTTTCAGTTCAGGTAGGTGTCTTGTTAAGTGCTTGAGTGGTGTGTTAGCCAGTATCAACAGATGTACCTGTAGCTGGAATGGGAAGCATTCAGGATTCTACTTTCCCTGTTTACTGCGGTAAAAATGGATTAACGTCAGTCAGTGGTTGTGATCATAGTCTCATTCACTCACCAACATTTAGGCCATAGGCCGCAGTCTTTTTTTTTTTAGGCCACAGTCACTGTCTAAGTTTGAGGGATATGTTGCTGGTTTTCCGTCCTGATTGCCATAGCTAGCTGTGTGTGTGTGTATGACAATGTCTGTGTCTCTATGTGTGTGTGTGTGTGTGTGTGTGTGTGTGTGTGTGTGCGTGCGTGCGGGCATGAATTGTCTTGACATTTGATGGGTAGGCCTTGATAAGACCTCAAAATGATTAGATTGTGGGTCCCCTGTCGGCTTGTTATGGTACTGCAGCAGAGCATCTGTCTTGTATCTCTTGATCTGGGCATGCTACTTAATATAAGTAGTAGTGTCTCATGCAACACTGAATTTGACCCTGCCATGTGAGACCAGATTATCCCCTCAAAACTGAGGGATATGTGCTATTTAATGATTCATATGTTTGGTTTGCTGATAACAAAAAGGAAAACCAAACTTCACTAATTTAGGAATGGGAATACATCGCTTTTCTCATATACATCCAAACGAAAGCTTTTAATTTCTACAGTATATGAAGTTTTTGAAAAACAACCACTGATCCTAATGCAATCCATTAACATCAGATTCTATGAAGTTGTGAGTCCAGGAGAGCCATTAAGAAGGCATGTGGGGTAGCAGCACTGCACCTGCTGTAGCACTCTGCAGGTACCTGGGAATTCAGTGGGTGGAAAGGGTAAGAGGATTAGGTATAGTCAGGCACATTGCTGTATGACTGTTTGAAGCAGCTTTTGACATCAGGCAAATGCCTTTCAGGCCAAAATGTTGTGACTTTGCAAAGTTTGAAGTCCACTCTGCTAGACTGCTATGATTTAAAGTGCATATAACAGGAAAGTAAAACATTTTCTTATTGTCTGTAAAAATATGGTGTGACTGGGTGAACATAATGTATTACACCACACATACTAACCTTCATCAATGCATTCATGCTAGTATACCATTTTGATGGTATTGAACATCAAACCATACTTCCAGCTCAGACCAATGGAACTATACCATTATTACGTCACAGTTTGTTTACCTGTTCTAAAGAACATTCTAGAACGGTCAGTTAAAGAATAAAGATCATTTCAAAGTTTTCAAAGTAAGGTATGTCTGATTTTTGCTGCGTCTAGTTGTGTTGACACAGCATTACATGCCACATGGGTGATTTAGTTGTGACATTAGACGAAAGTAGTACTGTATCAAAAGCCTTATATTAAGGCTAACGCTACACAAACACACACCACGCTACGCACCCCTGTACAATATAAACGTCGATTGACCGGCATTCATTGCGGTAAACAAACTGTGACGTAATAATGGTATAGGTCCATTCAGTTAAACATTAGCTATCAATATTCCACTGGTGATGTCACAGTGAACATAGCAGGCAGTTTAGAACCTCCAGAGAAAAAGTATTATTTTGAGAAGCAAATATTATTTTGTTTTTAAATTTTAATCATCTTGATTTACATACAATTCCAAGACTAAAGAATATTTTCTCGCAGCAAATATATTTGTATAATGGCACCAGGGCACTTGTATATATCCAACTTTTTTGTTCATATTTTTGCAGTGAAGACTTATCAAAAGCAGTCCTAGCTCAAAAAACTAAAGTGCAGCCAGCAAAAATGATCATTCCTTGTATGATACATGCACATGTACCTGTGATGCAGCCATCTTGCAGGTTACTGCAGCTTTGAAAACATTACTCTGAAACCACCTGTCAAGCATCTTGGAGAGGGAGGAGCAAAAAAGGACCAAGCAGTAAAATGATGACTTGACAGTACAAGAGATCTGCATGGACTCCAATAACTAAACATATACTACATGTAACGTGGCGATTGTGGAGAAACGATGGCAAACGCGGAGAGACAGACGCCGAACTTATTCCACAAGGTGGAAGTGATCCGACTGGCAGAGAGAGTGAGAAGAAATCGTCGAAGGAGCTTAGATTAAAGGGGTTTGCAGACAGTAGAAAATTTGTTTGGAGACTCGACAGAAACTTTGTTTGATTTTGCTTTCTTTTTCTTTTTTAGGTACACGTACACAAGAACAGTAAATGGCAACCAGTGATTTTTTTATGTTTTAGTGTGAATGGTTTATATGTGTGTGAATGCTATAACGTGTAACGCTACATATAAAATGGCTTTAGTTGTGCAATGAATGTTTTCATATGTTTGAGAATAAAGACATCTCTGTTGCTACTGAAAGCATGTTTCATTTTTTGTTGGGGGGGGGGGGTCAACTAACCGGCTAACTCTCTATAGTGGTCACTTGTCTATAGTGGTCAAATTTGGACAGTCCCTTGAGTGACCACTATAGACAGGTTTGACTGTATACCAATAATCAAAGAAATCTGTCAAAACCACTGTGAGTTACAGTTGTGAACACACAAACATGACCGAAAACAGTACCTTACCACAGAAGGCTACCTGCTTCTCCATGAGGTAAAAGGAAGAACAATCCATACTTGAATACCAATGATCCCCGCTAACCAGATACTTGTATTGTTCAGTCCTTGGCGTCCTTGCCAGTGCAGGTCATTGCACTTTAGGTCATCAGGCATTGCGATATGTACAGTCATAGGGTGTCCCTCCCCGTCCACAACAAAGGGAGGTATTCCCCCCTATTGTTACAGTTATCACTGTAAATCAATGCTAAGCCATGCTGAAATGTACCTCCACACCCACTACATATGTATGGGGATACTCATGTACAAGCCACTAATAGGTCCTCAAATTCAATATGGTTGACAACATGTACATGCTTTCACTAAGTTGAGTGTTATGCTGACATGCATTATTTAACTCTAATTGGTTACTCTCTCAAGTTGATCTCATTGCCATATGTTGCCGATAAAGCTTGGGTCTAATTGACCTCAAGTGACACTGACGGGTTTAATCATCCAGTAGTAATTTCTTGATCTGGTCTTGACTAGTTTTGATGTAAGCCAAACTTCTGTATAAGCAGTATATTGTGTGGCATTGCTCAGATGTTTAGCTGCTCTTCTGGGCCTTGGGCCTAGGAAAATTAGTGTTCTGTTTCTGATTTCAGTCATGGAAAAACTAGGAAATGGAAATGGTAGGAAGGATTCTTTTTTCCTTTTTTTTTCTTTTTCTTTTAGATTTCGGCTAAAATGATGCAACATATGAAGTTTAACAATGCATTGGGACTGTCTGAAGGACCTGTCCACCTGTTTGCCTGTAGAAAAATATGTCACCCAATTTAAAAATAACTTCTGAAAATGTGTTTAGTGACATTTAAGAAATTCAGATGTGAGATATAGAATTTAAACCCTTACCAGCAGTCAATCAAGAAGAAAGGTTAGGGTCACCCAAAACCGGAAACACAGCATTTTTTTCCCTAGGCCTTGCCACCCCGGCTGTAGGTGAAATATTTTGTGCTCTATCACTTGATCTGTGGAATGCGAGATTCTCCCTGGACATTAAGAAATTCCATGGTTACTAAAGGGTAGTTCATGGTGTTGAACCTACTACTGACCTCCTGTCTGCCACCAATCTGCCACTAGTTTGGGAAGGGCAAGAAGCACACATTGTATGTACTCGAACCAATATGTTCCTTTGATACACAGTGAGTTCAACAATCTCAGAGTTCAACAACCTCTTTTCTCCCCCGTAGAGTATGTATGATTTTTGAGGTCACTTCTGTATCAACGTTAAGTCGTTAACAAATAATTTGCCGACTTTCTTCTTTCAGTACCTGTCGCCACCGTGAACATACAGTTCCGTGGACAGGTCCATTTTTCTAAGAACACAAACTTTTGCCAATGCAAACATAAAGTGAATTACAGTACTGTCCATTTGTCACAATTCCCAACTTCTACAGTTTCCAAGAGCAAAGTATGGTATAAAAGACAACCGACACGGTTAAAAATCATGAGTACTATATATGTATATTTTTTACATGAATTGTTTATTTTTGTTCACGCAAATAGCCCGTCCAGGACCTAAGAATAACCCACATCGAGTTCAATAACCTAACCTTGGCTTGGCTCTGCAGTTATGCTAATGTCTAACAGTCTATTCTTGTAGAGTCAAGGCTGTGTTGATATATAAGCTGCTGACAGAGATTCTTTATTGACTCGACAAAAGTACTGGGGCTTCCGTATGGTCTACTACAACTAAGATGGAGTGGACAGAAAAGTTAACAGCAACAGGCGTTTATCATTTTATACTGAAAAATGCAATTATAATGATATTTGTAGCCTGGGTGGTGCCATCCTCTGGGCCCAGCGACATTAGGGAGCGGGCGAAAACTACGTAGGATGGCAGCCAGGCTATGATATTTGGTCAAAATGGACAAAACCTGTGGTCATTGTGTATTTTCTAAATGACTTATATCGTCCCAATTCTCTGTTTAATCTATGATAGCTAATTCTTAACTTTTTAATCACTTCATATGACATGTTTGTTGTCCCCCCAGTGTGGAGCCCATCTCGGCCATGTGTTTGATGACGGTCCCAAGCCCACCGGCCAGCGCTACTGCATCAACTCTGCCTCACTCAAGTTCGACCCAAAGAGCTCCAAGAAGGGAGAAGAACCCAAATCTGAGCTGTGAGAAGAAGATGTCTGTGTAGGGAGGGGGGTAGCATGCCTGTAGCCAGGATTTGTTGGGGGGGGGGGGCTCGTCACTGAATGACATCCAGTAAATTTCTAGCGGGGACCAATCAGAGGGCTGCTGAATAATTTGAATAATTTATCAGGGCCCACGGACGCGGTTCTTTCACTTGTAAAGTAGCCAATTACCACCGAGCCGGTGGCACACGATGGGCGAAAACATGTATTTCACACCCATTGTACGTCGACATAAAGCGCTTATACATTACAAACAGAATTTTCGTAGGACTACCATTACTTTAGTTTGCAGCATGTGTATTGAGAACGAGTACTAGTATCTTCATAATTCTGCTGGCTGTTTGTAGAAGAACGGCACAATAAAACAGTTTTCAATACCAACACGACTTAGCAGATAACACGTAATGAAGCCCACTTTTTACGCAGATTGTAGCACTACGTAATGTTACACAAACTAACAGTAGATGTTTTAAGGAATTCACAGAAATGACAATGATAGATAATGTGACGCATATACATTATACAGCACAAAATAAAGAGTAACAGTAAAGTAGTCGTCTTTGGCCGGGTATGGCAAGTTATAGTACGTACATGTATCGGTTCAATCTTTAACGGGTAAGTTGACAGCAACAAGCAAGATGCATAGGTTCTATTACATATGCTTTTGTAGCTCACTTGCGTCTAGATTTGGGACGAACCCATGTTACTTTTTCGCCGCAGTTTTTCATGTAGTGGTTACTTCGACAGCCTTTCCGCTGACGCAAACATACTAGTTTGAGGTTCCACAGTTCTTACAACGTTAGCGCTTGAAGTGGTGTTTTCCAAGTTTGTTGGTCTGGTGAGGTTGTCTTTGTTGGCTTGTTGTCTGTCATTTCCCTCCATTTTTATGTTTGGCGGCCCGTCTTCGATTGGTTGGGTTTGGTTCACAAATCTCAGCTTTGCTAAGATCCGTTCCTTCCCGTACGTAGAGGTCGCTCCATTAGCGCTAGTGCAGCCACATTTGAATTTGTAAAACTTAATGTCTACAGTCCCGTTTTGATTCGTTCATCAAAGTAGATTTTACTAAGGTATGACTTTACTAACTGATTGTGGAAGTACTAGTACTTAGTACTGATGTAAACAAGAAACAATATACGCGCTCTGGTTGAGTTCATGGCATTTACATGAAACAAGGTGATAATAGCCGCTAGTCGGTGACGCGTCAGCAGCCCTATGATTGGTCCCCGCTAGAAATCTACTGGATGTCATATAGTGTACACGGGGGGGGGGGGGTCGTTCGATAGTACATGTACTAGTATCTGAGGGACCAGCAAGTGCCGTTACAAGGTGCAAGGTTCCTAGGGGGGGGGGTCAAGGGGCACGTTCCCTGGAAGATTTTGAAAATAAAACCTTCTGAAATGTCATTTCCTACATTTTTGAGAGAATTTCAAGAAAAAAATCAGAGGCTCACATATGTATTTCATTGGAAGAAATAGAAAGAATGACTACATGTATAGCCATTATGAAATGCCATTATAAAATGGCATCCACAATAATGGTATCAGGCCAGAATCAGTCCTCCTTTAAAAGAAAATCTTGGACTTTTTGATAAAAAAACATACCTTTGAGTGTTTATGTTCTTCCAACCCCCCTGGCTACGGGCATGGGTAGTCATACCATACTGGACTATACAGGGCTCTACATGTGCACCAAATCATGGCTGCCTTTCAATGTAATCACATATACTTCCTGAAGATTGGTCAATTGCTAAATAGATTTTGGTTTAGTTATTAGTTAAGTAACAATCAATTCATCATGATTGGTCAAAGATTGACAATACAGGGAAAAGGAATTCATGCCAGATACACATCTGTGTCATTTTAAACAGTCACTGTTTTAAGGCCAAATAAAAAAAAGGCTGCAAGTACATGATACTGTCACTATGAATGTACAGCAATTGTTGTAGATATTTGGAGAGATTTTAAACTTTCTTTACCAAACGGAATGGTCCTTTCAAATGGGTCTTGATAGGGGTTTTAACTGTGACCAGACAAATGTCAACTTGTCCTGGGACTTTTTAAAAATTCCATGTAACAAGCAGAAGGACAGTAGTGTGATGTGATTTTGGACACAAGTTTCCTCACAAGGAAATCTTTCATGCAAAGGGCTGATGGGGACATAAGGTTGTACTGTACCAATGTTGTAGCACATGGTAACTTGTGGTATGTTGGAATAGATGAATGTTATCGGAAAGATACTTTTTTTTTACTTTCATGAAAGTTCATCTGTGTTGGTAGTTACATGTTAAAACTTTTGATCCAACACAAAGAAGTTCTCACCTAGAGCTTTTGACCGGTCTTATGTTGACGTCACACTTCAGAGAAGCCACGTGACAAGCTTCACTGGGTCAGTCTACTGAGGAAGACCGGAGTGTCAAAAGTTCAAGGTGAGAGAACTTCTTTGTGTTGGATCAAAAGTTTTAACTTTATATGATAGGAAAGATAAATTGATTTCTACCATTTTGAACCATGTTCAGACTGGATCTACTGTACTTAATCTACTCTTTACCACCAGTGCACAAAGTACAGGAATCCTCACGTCATTTTTTAGAAGTCACCAGTTGTTGTTTTTTTCAGTTACAAAGCCCTGATATTCCTTTCACTTTTCACATCAACACTGCGCTATGCACATTTACATTTTACAAGCCATATTCATGTCGAGTACATGTACTAGTATTACGCATATTTATGGGTGCAAATAGCTAGAATATAGATCAAACACTCCCATACCAGGTGTACTGGGTAAGTAAAACAAAGTAATATGCAAGCACATAGGTTTGAATATTTAGGTTATGAATTTATGATGATTTAATATCATGTGTAGCAAGGTATTTTGATATATCCATAAGGTGTGTACGGAGGTTTCTGTAACAAGCAAATCATAAGTTTGAAATATCTAGCTACTATGTTAGTACAAATGTAGTACATTTGTATCACTGAAACATGGATTATTTCAAGAAATGGATGGACAAGCAAGAAATGTTTATCAAGTTTGTTTTTTTTACATTCCTACAACAATAAGTACTACTAAGTAGAAAGTGTGAAAAGTGAAAAACTATTGTTTACATCTGAATGTCATAATGAGGGCCACATTCATACTGATAATCATTCAGTAGTTGTATCTGTGTCCTTGTCACACATTCACAACTTTCCCCCACCACCAACCAACCAACCAAGCTTGACTAAAGTTTGGGAGCAGTCTGACCAGATTTCAGCCATGCCTACCTTTCTATGTGAATCAAATCAAATTTGAGTTACATTTGAGTCAAATTTTGTTCTACAAATTGTATCATAGGATACTCAACTTTATTTTAGATTTTTACATTGAGATTACATGTACTTAAGGATACTTTTTAAATCTTTTAGAAGGCAAGTCAAATGCACATTTGAAGTGTTAGGTCTATAAGTTGTACTGTAGATTTTCTTATGAATTTGAACATGTATGATATATATATACTGAAACATTTATGTTATTATTTATAGTTCTGTCAGCAGGTTGCCAGTACTGAATTCCACTAGAATTGCCATGTGTTGTTGCCATGAGAAATAGGATTTTTACATGGTTTTGCAGAGCAACGTTAGGACGTGTTATGAAGAATGAAACACAGGTATTTTTTGCTGTGAGGGATATGACATCATGGCAATAAAATATTTCTATGTTTGAATGCAGTTTGTTTGGTAGTTGTTACACCTATTTTTAGCATTATACAAAGAAAGACAATGGTGTTGCGCCTATTTTAGCATTATACAAAGAAAGACAAAGGTAAATGTTCTTCAGAAAAGCTCTACTTCGTGCCCAGTGGAATCGCCCTGCTGCTACGTCATAGTGGTTGCCCCCCTTATAGAGTAGTCAATGGTATCGCCCTGCTGTTCCGTCTTGATGGTTCCCCCCTTGTGGAGTGGTTCATGGTATCACCCTGCTGTTCCGTCAGTACGGTTCCCCCCTTGTGGAGTGGTCCCACCTGTCAGTACCCTCTGGCAGGGCGCCAGACGGCCGGTCACCCTGCCAGCATGTCCTCAACTGAACTTGGGGACACCCCGGTAGGGCCCGGCGTTCCTTTTACATGACAGTTGTGGAAATCAGGGCACATCGCTAAGGAGTTTGCTAGCCTTGGCGCTTCTTACTGCAGCATCACCCGTCTCAAACCGCCTCGTTGACGTAGCCTCTACCAGGCTTCAGCTTAAGAATGGACTGGAAAGGGTAGAAATTGGCCAAATAGACAGATAACATGTACATGTCAGGGGCTATTAAAAAGAGTATAGTTTGTCGCTCTCCTGGCACCGTATCTGTCTATTTGGCCAATTTCTACTCTGTCCAGATGATTCTGAGGCCTTGTAGAGGCTACTAGTATCTGTAAACTACGTACACACATTAAACAACCCTAGTCATTTTATCCTTTGTCGACGTAAATGCAGATCAAAAACGATGACGAGATTTCGGTTATTCTTTGTTTCTAGTAGGCATGTCAAACTTTCCCGCTCCGGCATTGGAACGCGGGGGCGCGCAAGGCAGTAAATATTTTTAAACGATCGTTAAAAATCAACCGTTTGTATTATGCCAATAAAAATCGTTATCAACAATGTATATGATGTCAGCTATCGTGTCATTGTATTTTTAGTTGAAAATATGGATCAATAAAGGAGCTAAAAATCAGCAAAGTTGAAAATACAGCCGAAAATCAGCCCCGTTCGGACGCCGCGAACGCGGCACGCTATTTTGAAGCCGCCGGGCGGAGACGTCTTCTTCCACTCAAAAGCCACAAACCGCTCGGGCTCGTAGAACTCTGGGAATGATTTGATGTGAAAGGGCAGAGTTCAGGGTTCACGACAGCGGTGGGACAAAGTTGCTGCGTCATCGCTGGCGGGAGGTACGAGACGAGAAGTGAAGCGTCCAAAAAGTATGTGAAAAATTTTGCTATTTTTCTTGAATTTAACAATTTTGTCCGCCCATAGCAACAAATATAAACACCTTGTGGTTATGTTG